CATTTAATATCCACCAATTTTAACCTTAAAAGTCGTCTTGGACTGAAAATTCTTTCGAACTGACTCAGCAAAGGGGATTTTCTATCTAGAAACAGTTGTAGTTTCATGATAGAACACATCTAGGGCCAAAAATAGTGGATACAAAAGCAAATTTTCCCGTTTTAGTACTTTTATCCACCAAAAACAGCTCTAAAGGCTGAAAGGAAACAGTTTGTTAAGTTCGTATGAAACTATATCCATTCATTATGGCCCTAGAGCAATAATTGTATACATTTTCAGCTTCTAGACGAGATAATTGGGGTCTAACAATGGATAACCTGCATTATTGACTCAGAAATTGACTTAAAATTAAATCAATCTTGAAGCTCCAATATATCCACCAAAAATGGCCTAAAAATTAAATCTTCTCTGCTATCATAAACTTGAAACGATTTCCAACCTGATCCGTTCACTGAGTAAAGCTGGTGAACTTGTTGATCAATATAATTTTTTCAGTTGAAAATTTTCGGTATTGAATTTTATTTCATCGTTTTATTATCCACCATATCTAGCCTTAAAATTGAAATATTTCTTTATTTTCGCCTTTTATCATAGAGGCATATCGATTTGCTACAATTCTATCTTTAAATAATCACAATAAATTAACCACACGTAAAGTTACAGGCCAACAAATGATATATCCACCAAACCCCTCTGAAAAGTATATCCACCATTATTAGCCCTGATTTAAATGCGTGTATCTCTGCTCATAGACATAATAGACATTTTATTCTTTTTGTAAAAGTTGAACTATCGCAAATCCTATGCTGAAAAAAAGTTTAATCAAAATATTGAGTTTATCCACCAAATGAGAGCTTCTAGAAGTTGAAATTTTTCCCGTGACAGATTCGTTAACATAGTTTTTGAAAGTGCCCTATACACAGCATAGTACCCAGCCAATACTGCAGCGGAGGTAAGTTTACCACTCCTGCTATACACAGCATAGTACCCAGCCAATACTGCAGCGGAGGTAAGTTTACCACTCCTGCTATACACAGCATAGTACCCAGCCAATACTGCAGCGGAGGTAAGTTTACCACTCCTGCTATACACAGCATAGTACCCAGCCAATACTGCAGCGGAGGTAAGTTTACCACTCCTGCTATACACAGCATAGTACCCAGCCAATACTGCAGCGGAGGTAAGTTTACCACTCCTGCTATACACAGCATAGTACCCAGCCAATACTGCAGCGGAGGTAAGTTTACCACTCCTGCATACACAGCATAGTACCCAGCCAATACTGCATCGGAGGTAAGTTTTGCCACTCTGCTTTCACACAGCATAGTACCCAGCCAATACTGTAGCGGAGGTAAGTTTACCACTCCTGCTATACACCCCCGCATAGTACCCAGCCCATACGAGCGGAGGTATGTTTACCACTCCTGCTATACACAGCATAGTACCCAGCCATTACTGCAGCGGAGAGTAAGTTTACCACTCCGGCTCTACACCAGCATAGTACCCAGCCAATTACTTGCAGCGGAGGTAAGTTTACCACTCTGCTATACACTGCATAGTACCAGCCATACTGCAGGGAGGTAAGTTTACCACTCCTGCTATAACAGCATAGTACCACCAATACTGCAGCGGAGGTAAGTTTACACTCCTGCGATCACAGCATTAGTACCCAGCCATACTGCAGCGGAGGTGTAAGTTTACCAACTCCTGCTTTACTCAGCGTTAGTACCAGCCAATACTGCAGCGGAGTAAGTTTACTACTCCTGCTATACACAGATAGTACCACCCAATACTGCTGCGGAGGTAAGTTTACTACTCTGCTATACACAGCATAGTACCCAGCCAATACTGCAGCGGAGGTAAGTATACTACTCTTGCTACATTACAAATAGTACCAGCCAATACGCACGGAGGTAAGTTTACTACTCTCTGCTATACACAAATAGTACCCACCAATACTGAAGCGGAGGTAAGGGGTTTTTTTTTTTTTTTTGTTTTTTTTTTTTTTTTGTTTTTTTTTTTTTTTTACCACTCCTGCTATTACACAACATAGTAAACCGGGCCAATTCTGCAGAGGTAGGGAAGTTTACTACTCTGCTATACAACAAAATAGGACCGGCCAATACTGCAGCGGAGGTAAGTTTACTACTCCGGCTTTAAAACCTACACCAGCATAGTACCCAGCCAATACTGCAGCGGAGGTAAGTTACTACTCCCTGCTTTACACAACATAGTACAGGCAATACTGCTGCGGGAGGTAAGTTTACTACTCCTGCTTTACCTGCATAGTACCCTGTCAATACTGCAGCGGAGGTAAGGTAAGTTTACCACTACTGCTTATACACGCATAGTACCCTGCAATACTGCAGCGGAGGTAGTTACCACTCTGCTATCCACGCATTAGTACCCAGCCAATACTGCAGCGGAGTAAGTTTACTACTCCTGCTATAACAAAGCATGTACCAAGCCAATACTGCAGCGGAGGTAAGTTTACTACTCTGCTTTACACGCATTGTACCCAGCCAATATACACGCAGCGGAGGTAAGGTTTACCACTCCTGCTATACACAGCATTGTACCCACCCAATACTTGCAGCGGGGTAAGTTTTTACTACTCCTGCTATAACGACAACATAGTACCCAGCCAATACTGCAGCGGGGGTAAGATTTACTTACTCCTGTATACACAGCTTAGTACCCAGCCAATACTGAAGCGGAGGTAAGTTTAACACTACTGCATACCACAGCATAGTACCCTGCCAATACTGAAGCGGAGGTAAGTTTTACCATGCCTGCTATCACAGCATAGTACCAGCCTTCTGCAGCGGAGGTATGTTTACTATACTGCTATACACAGCATAGGACCCAGCCAATACTGGCAGCGGGGTAAGTTTACACTCCTGCTTTACACTAGCATAGACCCAGCCAAATTCTGCAGCGGAGGGTAAGTTTACCACTCTGCTATACACAGCATAGTACCCTGCCAATACTGCAAAGCGGAGGTACGTTTACCTACTCCTGCTATACACATGCCAAGGTACCCAGCCAATACTGCAGCGGGAGGTAAGTTTTTACTTACTCCTGCTACTACACAGCATAGTACCCAGCCAATACTGCAGCGGAAGGTAAGTTCAACTACTCCTGCTATACTCAGCATAGTACCAGCCAATACTGCAGCGAGTAAGTTTACCACCCCTGCTATACACAGCATAGGTACCCAAGCCATTTACTGCAGCGGAGGTAAGTTTACTACTCCTGCTATACCACAACATAGTACCCAGCCAATACTGCAGCGGAGGTAGTTTATACTCATGCTAATACCACAGCAAATAGTAACCCAGCAATATGCAGCGGAGGTTAGTTTACCACTCCTGCTATACTACAAATAGTACCCGGACATACTGCAAGCGGAGGTAAGTTTACCACTCCTGCATACACAACATAGGTACCCAGCCAATACTGCAGCGGAGGTAAGTTTTTACCACTCCTGTATACACGCATAGTACCCTGCCAATCTGCAGCGGAGGTTAAAACCTAATCCAAAAGTCATTAGGGGGGGGGGGGGGGGGGTAGCGTTCCTCTCCTTATTATCATGCTCACGAACTTGACCTAAATTCATTTCACCAAAGCAATTTCCTAAATCCTAGGATTTGAACCTTGAATTTGCGAAGGCAATGTGATGAAACTCTACTTCACAGGTAGAGCCCGACAGAAGTGTGCTATCTCACTTAACTCTACTTCACAGGTAGAGCCCGACAGAAGTGTGCTATCTCACTTAATTACTTCACACGGTAGATCGTCAGAGTGGCTATCTCACTTTAACTCTACTTCACAGTAGATCGACAGAATGTGCTTTTCTCTTAAACTCTACTTCCACAGGTAGATCCCGACAGAAGTGTGCTATCTCACTTAACTCTACTTCACAGGTAGATTTCCCCCCCCGGACAGTAGTGTGCTGATCTCACTTAACTCTCTTCACAGGTAGGATCCCGACAGAAGTGTTGTGCTATCCTCACTTAACTTACTTCACAGGTAGATCCGACTGAAGTGTGCCATCGCACTTAACTTAAATTCACAGGTAGAGCCCGACAGAAGTGTGCTATCTCCATAACTCTACTTCACAGGGTAGATCCGACAGGAAGTGTGCTATCTCACTTCTTAACTCTACTTTACAGGTAGAGCCGACAAAGTGTGCTATCTCACTTAACTCGACTTCACAGGTAGAATCCGACAGGAAGTGTGCTATCTCACTTAAAACACTAACTTCACAGGGTAGAGCCCGACAGAAGTGGTTGCATCTCACTATAACTCTACTTCACAGGTAGAGCCCGACAGAAGTGTGCCATCTCACTTAACTCTATTCACAGGTAGAGACCGGACAGAAGTGTAGCTATCTCCATTAAACTCTACTTCACAGTGAGCCGACAGAAGTGTGCATCTCACTTAACTCTATTCACAGGTAGAGCCCGCGTAGTGTAGCCATCTCACTTAACTCTCACCACCACAGGTAGAGGCCCGACTAGAAGTGTGCTATCTCCCTTACTCTACTTCACAGGTAGAGCCCGTAGAAGTTGTTCCTTCTCACTTAACTCTACTTCACAGGTAGAGGCCGAACAGTAGGTGTGTCTAGCTACTTAACTCTACTTTCAAAGGTTAGAGCCCGGGACAAGAAGTGTGCCCATCCTCACTTAACTCTACTTCACAGGTAGAGCCCGACAGAAGTGTGCATCTCACTTAACTCTACTTCACAGGTAGATCCCGACAGAAGTGTGCTATCTCACTAAACTCTACTTCACAGGTAGAGCCCGACAGAAGTGTGCTATCTCACTTAACTCTACTTCACAGGTAGAGACCGACATGAAGTGAGCTATCTCACTTAACTCTACTCACAGGTAGATCCCGACAGAAAGTTGTGCCTTTCACTAAACTCTACTTCACAGGTAGAGCCCGACAGAAGTGCGCCATCTCACTAAACTCTACTTCACAGGTAGATCCCGACAGAAGTGTGCTATCTCCCTTGACAGCCCCTCTAGTAAACCTCTCCGGAGCTGCAAGAGAGGAGTAGTTGCTATGACAACCAGCACTAAACACTCTCTATCAAACACCTTGTTCTATATTGCGTTTGGGGGACTGCCCTGCGTGGACGATACCAATCTGGTGTACGGGGAAATCATCGAGGGGTACGTAAAAAGGAGAGGTTGGTATTTCTACGTAAGGAGTGTTGAAAATACACCTAAATACTAGACATTGAAGGGCAGAGTTCGGGTGTTAATCTAGTTAATCTCTTACAGGTTTGATGTGTTAGACGCGATTGAAGCAGCAGGAAGCGTAACTGGGAAACCGAAAACAAGCGTCAGAATAATCGAATGTGGCAGGTCAGGCAAACAAATTGTCAAATACTAAAAATACATTTTGTGAGATTTAGAACATTCTGGAAATGGGTTCAGAATCCAAAACGAAGCTACTGATCATACTACAACGACTAGTCCCGACTGCAGGTATAATTAATTAATTAATTAATTAATTAATTGCAGGTATAACGAGCGGAAACATGGCATGATCCTCAGTAAGTTACAGGTGCAGAACCTAAAGAGTGCCGCAGGAAACCTCAAGCTTGACTCATTAACTTGAAGTTGTCTTGGGCAGCAGGATTTAGGCAGTTAGAATAAAGATATCAGAGATACTGTACTATAGAGTATAGACTATACTGTCTTGACAGGGGACTCACGAGTTGCGATCAGTTTTGAAGGGATTTTACTTCGACGAACTTAATTTAAATTGTAAATTTTAAGTGATATAAATAAGTTGATAGACTAGAGTGCTGGTTGAAGGTGACGCGCATGTAACAGCAATTAACCATTGAGCGTACGACCAGCAGAGGCTTACAAGTAAATTAGTAAATCTTGGCCACGTGCCAAAACAAATTCCTTTTTTAACAGAAGTCAAATAATCTGTTACTCTCATTAATCATTATGAATGCTTAAAAACGTGTACGTATATGTTATTTGAATCATTGATTTTCGATTGTGTCTTCTTTTTTGTTGTTGAATACTGATAGACTAAAGGAAAATCTAACCTATGGCCATGGGCTATAATGGTAGTCCCAAACTCATGTGCGAGCTAGGATGGAATGTAGGTGATTCGATAATAATAGCAAACGCTTAAACTAATGTTAAGCTTCTACAGAGGGAATTATTTTAATAGCCGAGACTTTTAAATAATGTTTCTCTTCCCTTGTACAATTGTAGAATAAATTATGGAATAGCTATCGTTTGTTGTTAAATATATTGCAATGATTGGCCCAAGAAATATTTAATTTCTTTGATTACCTCTGATGAACAGCATACACGTGATCCAAATATTTAAAGTTTTATATGGCTACTAATGACGGAGCTTTCTGAAAAAATACGCAACCATTGAGTGTTATGTAGTTATCAAAAATGTAAGATATAAAATGTAAGATCTAAATATAATATTAGGGACTAGGGTAGGCCCACGCATGATACCAATAATCAATATCTCGCTGGATTAAATTTCTTATTTTAGCTACTCAATTCCTTTTTTTGGAGAGTCTTTAATCTATATTAATAATCGCAAAAAATTGTGCGGGTTCGTTCGTTCGTGCGTGTGTATACTCCGATTTCGATCCTGGACAAGTTTGCTCCCTAAACCAAAACCAAATATTATACTTTTGGGCCGTTTTAACTGCGACAGTGCAATTCCGTCCGAAGGGCAGGTTACACTAATAATCAATAATCCTGCTGGAATTAAATTTCCTATTTTAGCTACTCAATTCCTTTTTTGGAGACCTTTTCAATATTACAATAGTCAAAAGGTGATCACCTGTACTTGCATTGTAGTTGCAAATGATTGAATATTTTCTGCCCCTGTTGATAATACGTAATTTCTTTAGTTTATTTTGAAAAAAGTTTTATGTTGAAGGGGGGGGGATTTTTAGTCCCCATTAGTCCCCAAAAGTCTCCATTAGTCCCCATTTAGATGATTTTTAGTCCCCATTAGTCCCCAAAAGTCTCCATTAGTCCCCATTTAGATTTATCCTACTCTTATCTTGGACAAAACATCTCGATCGTATCGTTATTAAACTAACTTGAAAACCATAAATAACTGTCAAAAATTCTGGGGACTTATGGGGACAAATGGTGAATTACGTCAACGAGTTGACCTCTAGTCCCCATGATTTTTAGTCCCCATTAGTCCCCAAAAGTCTCCATTGGTAGTCATTGGCCCCCCCCCCCCCCCCCCCCCCCCCCCGTTGAAGGCCTTTAGAACGGGGGGGGGGAAGAATTTCTCTCGCTGTGATAATGTTGAGTTTGTTACCAGGGAAGGCAAAATCAGGTAATTTTAATGTGCAATAATACTATTTAGCGGTGTTTTGATTAACTTTATAAGTAATACGGCAAAAAAAGCTAAAAATAGTGATGTGATTGTCAATTTCAGAAATCAGAATCAGAAATCCTGGTGAAGTGATCCCATTATCTGCTGAAATTTCAAATACTGCTTGGCCTGACTGGAAAGCTGACAAAGCTATTGATTTGAACTTTGACACATTTTCTGTTGCAACCGCTGGTTGTGACGGACAACTATGGACAAAACTAAAACTGGAAAAATTGTTCTGCGTAAAGTGAACACACAGAAGGTAGAAAAGTTATACGAGATAGCAGTAATGGTACTCGATGTTTACATTGTAGAGTGGGGAGAATGGAGCGACTACTCACAATCATGCGCGGCACAACCGGATAAAGATGAACAGTGTGCTAAGAAAAGGAACAGAACATGTCTGAACTACAACGAATGTGAAGGGGATAGTATGGAGCTTTTGTTTTGCCATCCTGAAGACTGTAAGACCTCGTGGGTACGTCACACGCTGACGATTGTGGTGGGGGGGAGGAGTAGCTGTAGCCTCTATGATAGCTGTGTGTGTGGTGACTACAGTTTTAATCAGGAAAAGGGTACCTCAGGTAAGAGGGACGCATTTTAAACTAGCTTGGTTCTTTTAACACATTGAAAACTTTTGATGTACAACATGGTTTTTTTTGATTTCCAGAAAATCTCCCTTAAATTGTCGTCTCACAAAAGGTAGAAAATGTTGCGGAAGATGTAGTGAGCGCTGTCGCGAAGCCAGAACGTAACGAGGGACGCAACGTGGAAAACACTGTTGATATTGAGGATATATACGACAACCACGAGCTTTATAGTTTACGCCCGGTATAATAATCCCTGACCCCTGATCCCTGATCCCTGATCCCTGATCCCTGATCCCTGACCCCTGACCCCTGATCCCTGATCCCTGATCCCTGATCCCTGACCCCTGACCCCTGATCCCTGACCCCTGACCCCTGATCCTAGATCGAACTCTTTATTGTTGGACACTTGATTTAATAAAAATCATTGTTACTATTGGAGATCGAACTCTTTTAATTCAGATTGTCATATTGTAAAAGTACATTCAGCTAATGCAATGGTACGGCTAAATTTAAACTGGCAATATTTACTTTTAAATGGAATTTGATTTTTTTAAATTCTGATTTTGTAATTCATTTTACTTGTAATTTGTTTTTATTTGTTACTGATTAATATACTGACGTCTGACATCTATAATGATATTGTGCTGTTCTTTGAAAATATTTTCGTTTAAAAAGAATTTATCTAAAATTCCTTAAAAAGAAACACTTACCAGTGTTAGGTAGGGCAGTAACGATACAAGATCCTGTTTCTGTGTCAGCAGAGGCTGTAACCAAACTAGGGTGAGATGAAGCGCACTCAAAAGGTACCTGTGAGAATAATTATTGTAACTCTTTCATTGATTAAACAGTAAACAGTAAACAGTAAACACGTACAGTAAACACGTACGGTAAAACACCGCCTCTTTCCTTTTAACCAAACTCCGCGGAAAATCGGGGTTTTACTGAACCTTTATTTTTCATGCATCGAGCTTTTTGTTTTTATAGATTTTGCAGATCTACCTAAATTTAGAGCCTTTAACGGTCGGAGCCACACCGAAAAGTGAATGTTATATTTTAGTATGAAGGTGCATTATATATAATAAGGAACTGAAACCGAGGGGTTCCGTTCAGGCCCTTCACACTTTGTTTCTGTCTAGTTCTAATGTACCGTCACAATAGTGACTTTAATATATAATAAGAACATACTGTCTAGGGAAGGTATTATATAATAGGATGAGTTAAACAACGGCTAAACAACAAACCTTTGCGCTCTGCTGACCACCACATGTGGCCGGTAACTGTGACAGAGGTTTACTAGTTGTCATGGTGACGGGTAACCTAGCATTGGAGACTGTGAGGGAGGTGGCTATGTTACTGAGAACAAGAGTGTCGGATGGGAGGGATAGAATCACGCTCTCCGCTTTCACTATTTCCACCTGAATGTTGCAAGATATTCATCAAAAATCGTATATTAATAATTAATCTTTTTCCAATTTTGATTGATTACCAGCGTGAAATCGGGGGATTAACAACTGGGAAAAGGAGGCATTGTAAAGTTGCGTCAGTCGCGGAATCGCATGATTTGCCTATGTTTCTGCATTCTAATGAATAATTTTGCAATGATATTATTAATTAAGAAAGTTGCAGGGACGCATGATTCGCGTTTTTTTACCGCAACTCAATTGTGAACCAATAATGGAAAACTTCACGCTTACCCTGATAATGGAGTACGTTGAAGAAGTTATCTGTTTCTTGAGTTCAGTAACACCTAAGTTTTCTCCTCTGACCACACCTCCTTTTACAGTTGCTATATTGGTGTCTCCACTGCTCCAATCTCCTTTCTCCTCGCCTGAAGAGAAAACACATCAGAGATTATATCCCAAACCAGATCAATTTAGCTACGACTCATCCATTGAGTTTATACTAACCTCAACTTCTTGTTGAAAAACTTAACAAATTAAAACAAGAATTGCGCCCGTTGTTTCGTTTTGGCGGACGCTAGATTTCCATTCACTATAACTATAAATATAGGCTCCAATCAGCTCACTTCATAATAATAATATTGATACACGTTAGTACACTATACTACGCATACCACGTACAAATTGGGCTTATTACTTAATACTATACATTACAAAGTATACATTAAAATACACCCGCGCCGCGCATTCATTGACAGGCTAGCTATATACATCACATCTCCGCAAGCAATACTCGCGCGCTGCACTGCGCGCTAGCTGTCATGGTAACGGACGGAAGTAAGGACACACGACATATTTAAACCCACCTACCTCGTTCTCCAAAATCCACGTTTTTGTGCAAAAACGTCCATTCGTAACCTTTCACTATTGCCTTTTTACAAAAGAGTGAACGGAAAAAATCAAAGACGGTAAGTAATGAGGTCATGTTATTGTTAGGACACATACCCTAAAAATGTAGGGTGAATAATTATTTGTATTTTAACAAAGACCATAGTACTTGTTGTTACTTTGTTATCAGCTGCTACCTCCTATGCGAGCACCATGTACATTTGAACTAACATTATAAGCTATTATAATGTATAACTAACATAATAAGCTATTATATCCAGGTAGATACGAATCTATAAAACGGAGTACGACGGAGACTTGAAGTCGTATATTCTCGATCAGCGTGTACAAAGCCAAACCGCATATGGAGAACGGAACTGTAAACCTTGTCTTTATGTTTAGCTTGTACTAGCTATTGTCTAAGGTGCAGGGGTGTATGAAGCGGGGGCAGGGGGGGGCCATCGCCCCCCCCCCCCCCCCTAAAATCTGGACAAGGGGCCAAAAAGGGCCAACCTTCAAATTTTTTCTGGAAACTACTTTTGTTCATGTTTCATGCTACCCTGATCTTTATGAGTCGAAAATATTTTTTTCTGTTTACGAAGTCCGCACCTACCCCTTAACTTCGATATACGATTTTGGACTCGAGGGTTCCCCTTTGTAATGCGATCTCGGAAGGTAGGCCTCCCCTTCGCAATACGAATTCGGAAGCGATTATTTAGGCCAAAAATCGCGGCGCCGCGACAAGCCAAACTAGGCGAAATCGCGGTGAAAATCTCGAAAATCGCGTCGAATTCGCAGAAATTTCCACGGTTCTTCAAGTGAACAAGTTGTTCTTAGGCACGTGGTTCTGGAACAAGTAGTCTTATGGCATATTATCATTATGGTTATCGGACAGAATGAGGTTTATATCACTTAACATCTTTAATTCTATTGAATAGTGGCAAACTTTTGGTAATCGTACTGTAGTGCGACACGTACTCTAGTGCGACACGTACTCTAGTGCGAAGTCCGACAAAAACACCCTCTGTCGCACTACAGTACGTGTCGCACTACGATCCAGTAGCGTAATCTAGTGCGACAGTGTCGATCTTGGAGGTTTCGCACTAGGGTACGTGTCGCACTTGAGTACGTGTCGCACTACAGTACGTGAACCCAAACTTTTGCAGTTCAGTGGCTTTTTGTGGGCGACTTAGAGGTGGCGGCATGTTGTCAACATTGTGGCCTTTACCCTCATGAGCTTTTGTCCATATTGTGTTCGCAAAGGTATGATATAAAGTTATAATATATATGAATCGTCTTAACAATTGGTCAATGTTCTCATTGTTCCAGATTGTTCCAGATTGTTCCAGATTAACTGCTAACACATTTGACATCACATACGTATTATTTTATTTCCTCATCTTTGCCTTTGTTCATAAGAGGGCCTCAGGCCTCTATGTATCGTCTTCTGAATGTTTGCAGTTTTCCAGACATTAATTGGGGTGTCTAGTGGTTAACTTTATGTCTAGTGGTAAACTTAGTCTAGTGGTATAAGTTTTTATGTCTAAGTTTTAGGGAAGTTGGGAAGTTTTTGGCTAACAATGTTACGTCAGCAGACGAGTGGGTTAAGAAATGCTTGTGAAAGTGGATTCCTGGAAACCAATTTTTCCACGGTTCATGCTACCCTGATCATTATGGACATTGAGCCTAACATATTTTGTTCGGTTTTCAGAAGTCCGTACCTAGTAGTAGTACCTACCTCTTGATATACGATTTTGGAAGTTTTTCCTGAAACTACTTTTGTTCATGTTACCCTGATCTTTATGAGTCGAAATATGTTTTTTTCGGTTTTCGAAGTCCGCACCTAGTACCTACCCCTTCGATATACGATTTTGGACTCGAAGATTCCCTTTTTTAATACGATCTCGGAAGGCAGGCCTCACCTTCGCAATACGAGCTCGGAAGCGGGAGCTCTGCCTTCAGAGGTACGTATCGAGAATGACTCGGACCGAACATTTCTAAAATACTAGCGTAATCATTTGGAAAATTTGGGTTCAGTTGTCGTTTTGGGATTTACGCTTATTGGGTACCCAATTAAGCTGATTGGGTGCCCTGTTAACTGTGTGGGAACCCTCGGATTTAAAGGAGAATGCGCAATTTGTCACGGAGATCTGAAAATCGCGATTTGTCGCGAGGATCTGAGAAAATCGCGATTCTTCGCGGCAAACGTCAAAAAATCGCGATTTGTTGTGGAGAATGGGAAAATTCGCGATTCCGCACGTGCCGCGATTTCCTTTTGGCCATTAGACAGACACTCGCTTAACACATTACATGGTAACTTCTCTCTTTTTACTGTAAACATATTCGGGCATATGGTTTATGACTCATAATTCAGTTATTTTTTGTCCAATCTGGATGAAAATTCATATACGAGTTCAAGAGACCTCCCCCCTCAAAAGTTCAGTCACCGGTCCTATCTCAAAATCGAGTTTCACAAAAAAAAATACCCCTTGACCTCTAGAGAAATTATCCGGATAATTTGTTGAAAAGAGCAGAATGTTAGATATGTTTGTGATACAGTACAGGCCTCTCTGACAACTAGGAGACCTTGCATATCGTGCCGGTAGTTACAAAGTAATCCTGGGAGGGTCCTTGATAAATTAAATTGGACGGTTTAATCTTGTTAACTTTACCTCATGAAATAAACAAAATTAGCTTCCAGCCACACGACAATCTTTTAACGGTCCTACATAATTTATATTATATATACAGGGGGGCCGGGGCAAAGTCATTTTACAGACGTTGACCTTTATAGCTCAGTCATTGAGTGCCCGATCGAAATAATTCTTTCGCAGGTATGACTTACTATCACCACTCATTCGAGGAATATGTCAAATCAAAGAATATTCACGTTCATTTTTTTCGAATGAAGGTTCATTTTCGCATTTATTTTATAGTTTGAATTATCAAATCGAGCCAGATTGTATGAAATTGTGTTTGGCCATTCAAATTACATTTTCCCAGAAAAAATGAGAGTTCTAGCTTCTCAGATGATCGAGATATGAAGCATAACGAGGTTATTCATTACGAGTGATCAGGTGATTGGGTAGAACCTAGATCCGCATTATGAGAATCGTGCAGAGAGCCCGATTACAGTATCGAAGCACGCAATCACTTGATTATCTGATAAATTTTGCTAACGAGAAAAACAAATTGCTTGATAACTTCGTCATTTTGAATCCGTTTGGCGCCATCTTTTCAGATAAAAATTCCGGATTTAATTACCTATTGCAATATTACGTTGCAATGAATTTTATAGCATGTTCGCAAACACGAATATAAGCAATTGAATGTTGATCGGGTGTTGCCCCTAAAAACCGAATTTTAAACTTTTTGGCGACAGAATCCTCGAATAAGTAGGTACAGTATGTCATCTGCAAAGCAACAAGTCTCAAATATGAAACACGCGGTGGTATAAGACCCAACGTACATATGTACACTGACTTTTGCCCCCCCCTCCCCCTGTACTATTTATAATATAATATTATATATAAATATAATGTTTCTTTTTAGTTTCTTAACAGTTTCTTCTGCAGGGCCTCCGAATACAATTACAGTACCAGCCGAAACTACAAATGTCGGCTGAATCAAACAACACGGCGAGCAAATCTCAGGAAGAGGGCGCACCAGGGGAGCTCCAAGGACTCATCACAGAATCATGTTGTTCGGAATCAGGCCTGGCTGCAGTTAACTTTAAAAACTTAAAATGGACACAAAAAGACATTTACCTAATAGTTCTAATGACTATGATAAACTTCGGAGACGCACTGGAGATCTACCTTCCAGGAGTAATAACCCAGTCTGCCTCCAGTGACATGGAAGTATCTGAGACCCAGGAGGGACTACTCGGCATCATCCTCTATCTCTGCTTAGCGTTTTCTTTCTTCATCCTCCCAGCTATCAAGAATAAGGTAGGGCGAACAAGTACACTCCTGGTTTCTCTCTACACCTCCATCATAGCCACCATATTCTGCTCCCTGGTCCCCAACTTCTGGACTCTTCTCCCCTCCAGAGCTCTGGTCGGGCTATGTGTTGGGTTGAACTGGTCTGTTGGGTCCCTTTATTTCGTAGAACGGGTCTCAAGTTATGAGATGTACAATGTGGGTAAAGTGTGTGGACTGTTTGCATTTACGCTAGGTGGCGGCTGGGTTGCAGTGTTAGGCTACATTTTACTGTCTAGAATCGGATGGAGATACTTCATCGTCTGCGTTTCTGTCCCGGTCTTTATCCCGCCTATTTGTATCCTTCACTTTTCTCTTGCTGAGGGTACAACTGAAGAACAAGTTAAGATCCAGACTGATAAGGTGACCAATAAGGTGACCGAGAGTGAGGTTATCAGGGTTAATGACTTCTGGGGTCGCTTGATTAAAGGTTGTGTCGCCAACTTCATAAATACTCTCCAGGGTTGGGGGAGTATATTGCTCATACCAGCACTGCTTACCTATCTTGACGAGCAGCAAAACGTGCTAACTATGGATCAGGAGCTGCTCATTCTAGCGCTCCTTTACGGAGGAGCTAAACTATTGGGCAGGGTTGCCAGTGTCTTCCTTCTAAAGTACGTGAGATTCCGTATCCTGCAACCTCTACTCTCTGTCATCATAGCATCCTGCTACCTGACTCTCATTTTCTGGGACCACAGTCTCGTTGCCATTGTGGTTGCTATGGGGATAGCAAACATGTGTTTCTGTGTTACACGGTGTGAACTAACTCTTATGGAGTTTGACCAGCACTATTTTGGGACAGAGCGTCTGTATTTGGCAGCTGGAGTGATGGCAGGATGTGGATTGCTGGGTGCAACTGTCGGGCCATCGCTGCCCAGTTCCTGAGTAGTCAACATTCTGTTATCTTATCGTTTGTGTTGAGTTGTGTTCAAGTGGTAGCTTTCTGTTGCATCACTGAGCGGTAAAAATATGATTTAAGCTACTACTGGTTTAATAGTATAGCACCTGACTGGTTTTCGGGAGGTCGTGGGTTCAATTCCCGCTCTCGGCACATCTCACCCCGACTTTTCGTGAAAACGTACTACCTTACTGCCTTGATTCAGTTAGCTGAACGAGAATAGACCATGCTGACCCACCAGATGAATGATTTAAGCTAATATCACGTGATTCCTAGTACAGTTTTTATACTGGGGTGGGAGATAAGTGCAAGTATTATGGAATACTCGTGTATCTGTACACATATGGTACACACTTAAGCACTTCACTCCAAGGGTAGTCTAAATATTGCATATTTTTGTATGATTTTGTTGGGTGGTGTGTATCCTTCCTAGTACAGTGCATAGTTGCGCAAGGATACAGATAAAAGAGGAGATTCATAAGAATCTTTATAATCAGTACAATGTGTAAAATTCTTTATTCATGCTTATTACTTCAGACTATTGATTTTGTCAATTCTATCGTAACTTCTACGATCATTAATTTCTGATATCAAAGTTCATTGTTGACTGAACAGTGTATTCACATGTTCGGTCATCGATAGGGGAAAAAATATCAGGCTAAACCATCCTTTAACAAACAAAAAAAGATGAACTCAATCGTAAAAATAGGATGAAGGTAAATTCTTACTCCTTGAATACCAATAAAGAACTGAGAAACTGTTTTTAATCAATATGCCCAGAACAGTGATTAAAAGAGATTTCTCAAAAATGTACCACAACCTTTTCTTGGCTACAAACAATCACCTTTCATATCAGGCATGTAACAAAAGAACAGTGACTGGTTAAGCCTCAAAGGGTCTGAGAGGGTCACCCCGCCCTCGTAGCCCCAGCGTGTGGCTGAGAGGGTCACCCCGCCCTCGTAGCCCCAGCGTGTGGCTGAGAGGGTCACCCCGCCCTCGTAGCTCCAGCGTGTGGCTGAGAGGGTCAGCCCACCCTCGTAGCCCCAGCGTGTGGCTGAGAGGGTCACCCCGCCCTCGTAGCTCCAGCGTGTGGCTGAGAGGGTCACCCCGCCCTCGTAGCCCCAGCGTGTGGCTGAGAGGGTCACCCCGCCCTCGTAGCCCCAGCGTGTGGCTGAGAGGGTCAGCCCGCCCTCGTAGCCCCAGCGTGTGGCTGAGAGGGTCACCCCGCCCTTGTAGCCCCAGCGTGGGTCTGAGAGGGTCACCCCGCCCTCGTAGCCCCAGCGTGGGTCTGAGATGGTCACCCCGCCCTCGTAGCCCCAGCGTGTGGCTGAGAGGGTCACCCCGCCCTCGTAGCCCCAGCGTGTGGCTGAGAGGGTCACCCCGCCCTCGTAGCTCCAGCGTGTGGCTGAGAGGGTCACCCCGCCCTCGTAGCCCCAGCGTGGGTCTGAGAGGGTCACCCCGCCCTCGTAGCCCCAGCGTGTGGCTGAGAGGGTCACCCCGCCCTCGTAGCTCCAGCGTGTGGCTGTTCAGTGTTTAGTGACACTATATTATTGAGCTATATTATAACGCTCTTGCAACTAATGTAAACTTAAGAACTTATGTTAGCGTTAGGGCAGCAAATTGCGGAACAAAATATTATACTACTATCTTTTAGAAAATCAGTGCGATTAGTTTTGTAATCATCTTCTCAACGCTGTGGACACGTAAAAGTCGCAATAAGGTATTAACTACTAGATTCCACCTGGATTTTAATTAAAAAGTGTCTAGAAAACCTCCACAAAAACCCTCCTGCGTTAATTTATTTATCTTCAATGGTTTATATCAATATTTATTAATATCAGAGCAAGTCTTTGTCTAGAAGAGGTTGAACTTGAAGCTCAGTGCTGACTGATGTAATTTGACTCGCTTGCTGTTTTGACAAGTTTAGGTGCAAGACCTTTCCCTATGAGGCTCTTCGATTGTTCAGTAAGTCAACATGAGAACAGAGTTAAGCTTAACTAATATTAATATTAAAACATGAAAGATTTACAGTCTGACTAGTCATTATCAAGAAGCGCGAGAGGATGATAAGATGATAAGTTGAAGCTCAGTGCTTTAATGCGACTCACTTGATATTATATGGCCTGACACGGACATTTATAGATGATCAACATGAAAAAATGTGGATAAGTTGAGTGTTGACTCAATCGGCTCAAAGTCCTTATTCTTGACTAGCAGCAGCAGCAGCTGCATCTTCCATTATATTCCATTATCTTCCATTATCTTCCATTATATTCCATTATATTAAAAGCCCCTAAAAATATCCTCAAACCAATTCATTTCTCAACTTCAAACCTCCAAGATGAAGCTTTGCCAAATCGCTCTGTTCTTTGCTTGCGTCTCCGTGACGTTCGCTGGCAAGAAACTCTTCATGAACAAAATGAAGGGGGATATCGTCGAGTTGGAGGAAAAGTTTGCTTCCGTGTTGAACGACACAACTGGATCCATAGAAGAGTTGGAGTCTGTGATTGAAGGGATAGTGGCCTCACTTGGCGAGATGCAGACAGCTCAAGCACAGAAGGATATCGACCTTGCCTGGCAAGCTCTCCACATGGCTGGAGCTGCTGCTTGTCGAGGTAGTGCTGCTAATGGTGGCAAGGGAGAGTGGTCAAACTCTGTTATCCCCAAAGAAAACGGAAAGAAATGCGACGACCAATGCCAGCTGACTGACCGACCATACTGTAGAGCTGAGGTGGCAGTTTCTGGTTACCCTGGACGAGCAACAGACTACACCCAGTCCGTGGGATACTTCTACAACTACGAGTGTGATGGAGGCTGGAACGTTGATGTCAACCATAACGAGGTAGCAGCTGAGGATGGTGATATATTGACTGCGGACTCAACTTACTACCGATTCTGCTGTTGTGCAAGGAGTTAGATATCTGGTTATCAGATTGTTGACGCGAAAAATTTGTAGACTCTAAAATTTGCAATGGAATGTTTTAATTGATTTTTGATCGCAATGTTTAACCAAGTGTGGTTATTTGTTCGAACGAATTTAATGTCAATTTATCAATACTAAAAATGTTTGGTGTAAAAAATGGAATATAACAAGTATTACGCAAAAACTTAATATAATGGTGAGGTAATATAAACACCTTCCAATTTATAATCTTTAAAAAAAGTTTAATAAAAAATTACCAATTGGACAATACATGCACTTAACAGCATCCAGGTCACGAATACAGCCCGCAGCAGGGTTACCAGACGCCGGGTTCTGACAACTTAACATACTAGAACAAATAAAAAGTAACAAAAGCGTTAAAATATATTATATGTGCCAAGGTTTAAGGTTTACCTGTAATTACTAGTAAAACTTTTAAAACTTAAACTTAAAAAAGGTAAACCTCAACTGTTGAAAAAGACTATCCACACCTAGGACCTGAAACATGGCACAGGTACTCCTTGTCCTTGGTTGATATCCAAAATCGTTACATAACAGAACCTTTTTTAAGTTTAAGTTTAAATTTACTAGTAATTACGGGTAAACCTTAAACTTAGCGTGCAATATTTCAGGGACACAAGGTCAAATTTTGATGCGGTTTTTCCTACTTGTTTGTCTTCAGTAGCTCTGTATGTTATGTACATATAAATTTATATTCATATGTTATGTACATGTAAAAATGATTTTTACCCCCTGCCCCCCCCCCCCCCCCCCTCTGGCCTTTCATGTCTTCTTATTAGTGTAAGATATCCTTGTTATATGTTGTACTTGTTAAATTTAGGATAAATCACAAACGAATAAGAAGTCAAATAACGTAGTAGTTCGCTGTTTATTAGTCTCATGATTGAAATACTGATAGTTGGATGATATCCGGTTGGAAGAGACAAGGACAAGTGAAACAAGGATGTTAGGAGTCTCTTCCAACCGGATATTATCCAACTATCAGAATAAGAAGTGGAGTAACAATACCTTGCAAATCGGGGATGCAGACAGTAGAGAGATGAAGGAGGGTGAAGACGGGGATGTCAAGTGGAGAAGACACTCTGATGTAACCCCACCCCTCCAGTCCTGTATCCGTGTAAACTCTCACAATACCCTGAAATATAACATGTTTTAATATATCAATATAGCATCTTACTTATAATTCAGAGAATTCTTTTTGTTTGTACAATGTACAATGTTTGTACGACCGCCCACGTGCAAATTAGGCGAGAAATAGGAAGTTACATAGTAACCATGGTAACGAGGGTTATTACACGCATGTGCATGTGCAATGATTGTTTTAACGTCATTTTGATCGGTTTTGTTGATATTACGTTGTGTTTAGTGCGAGCAATATTTTAATCGGCTGTATCTTCGGTTGTGTAGCTGTGTAGGATATTTTTTTACGCGATTTAAACTTACTAACAAAAAATTCTATTAGCTTCCTCCCTGTGACCACGGGTTTTCTAGAACTGTATAATCTAGATCTATAAAACAGAGTACAGTGTACGAGTTACCGGAACTCCATGATGGAGCCTCTTGTATATATCCGGTACTGACTGAAGTTGGAATTCAGAAGTTGGAATTCAGAAGTTGGAATTCAGAAGTGCAGAGCGAAATACCTATTATTGACTATTACCTTATCACCAATTAGGCTGAATTAGTAATTTGATTCGTATAGTTAAAGATATTTGGTCAGTGCTACAGACATACTGGTATAATGCGGATTTAATTGACATTTAATTAACATTCAATTAACATGATTTGCAGATAACAGAGCAGGGTGGATAACAGTATGTAATTTAAAGACTAACGTACAACATTGCCAGAATATTAGTATTATCCATTAGCAGATGTAATTAAAACTACTTAAAACTACTCAAGATTGCATATTATCATCAGGCATGCTAGCTATGGTATGATAACTATGTAGTGAGTAAGCACGTGTGACGTGGTCCACCTGCAGAATTAGAAGTAATTCTCTGTACATTCTAAGCCTCATATTTGCCATCAATACAATCACTATAATAAGCCACAGTAGCTTTAATATTATTCGTAGCCCCAATCAAGATGAAGATCTACTTTGTCCCTCACAATGAAGATCATCCAGTCTGACTAATGCTGTCACGTGACCTAACCGACGAATTTGATAGGCTAGATCTCAGCGTTGCGACAAATAAGTGGCGTATCATTGGTCCAAAAGGTGTCAATCACCATCACCACTCAACAGAACTTCTGTAAGAGAGTACTATAGTGGTTGTAGCTTAGTAGTCTAGCAAATCATGATTACTACTGAGGTCCTCCTGTCAGACTCGCAAGGTTTGTTTGTTGTCTTGTGCACGTGGGCTGCACGTGTTGTGCACGTGGGCTGCACGTGGGCTGCACGTGTTGTGCACGTGGGCTGCACGTGGGCTGTTTGTCTTGTGCACGTGGGCTGCACGTGGGCTGTTTGTCTTGTGCACGTGGGCTGCACGTGGGCTGCACGTGGGCTGTTCGTCTTGTGCACGTGGGCTGCACGTGGGCTGTGAAGTCTGGGTCACGTGAAAATACAAATGTCACGTGTTAGCCTAACCCTGCTGAGTACTGAGTGAACCTGAACTTTAGGGTAATTTCTTGCTTGGACGGCTATATATTGCGTCGTCATTGTCTAGCTTTCGAATTTAGCTCCTTCATATGTGAGTACTCAGTATATCATGAGTATTGCGAGTTTTGGTGAAGAATGGAATTTTCAATCAAATTCCAAGCTTAGCATTCCATAAATTGCTCAAAAACGGCTATTTAACAGACAAATGATAATGTTGGTGGCAGGTGTGATGTTAGACTCTGCTAGATAAACGGCACCTATACTCGGGTGGTGAATAGCGAATAAACAAAGTTGTTGAGCTAACTTGGCTAAAAGCGAAATTTGCTTTGATGATGCCATCATGCACCTGGCGTCATATTTAGTGCGATTATCCGTTGCTAGATTGTCCAACTTATATTAGGCCTTATCGCCGTTTTTTGTGACCTTAACCACAGTCTTGGTTACTCATACTGGTGCAGTGTTGATGCTTTTCAGGCAATACTTTCTCGCAGTTGGAAGTTTTTAAATAGCTTATTCGGAAAAATGCTAAATAAAGACCTGTACATTTAAATCAAACAGCGGTCAGCCAAGCTTTATCTCCATACATTAGCCCAGACAACCGACCGTTCTATTATCCGTGTCGGCCGTCGGGTTAATAGATAAAATAAAATAAATAAAACCAGTCATTCACATATTGTTTTCCTGATCAGTTGGCCGATTTAACATTGCAGATTTAACTCGGTCGTGGGCTAGGAGAATGAATATTCCAGAGGATAGCCCAAATAGAAGCAATTTTATGTTTTACCGATGGTATGCAAAGAAGTTTTAAAATTTGTTTAAATGATCCTAAGCAAAATGTTGGTTACTTGTGCAGTGGTGATAACTTTGCAATTTACTAAAATGAGAGATATGTTTGCAGTGAAAATTGAAAAAAAGAATTCGAACATTTCTTTTTTTTCCGTTGAAGCATTGAGGCCCAGTGTTAAATTTTGCTCCATGATCGAAAGCACACGAATCAGTCAATCTCAAGATATGCTATATAATATAATATATAACTTATATATTACCAATAAGGTTCAGATGGTGTCAAAATATTGCAATAAAACGTCGTAAACCACTATAAATAGACTATTGAATTGGATGAAATGACTACAACAACTGACTGCAGTAGCAGTTCCGATAGTTATTAGTTACAACTCTGTTGCTCGCTCATTTGTCCGAGCGTTTAAATGCCGAATATTTCTGTTTCTACAGAAATTGTAGCTCAATTCTATTTGTTCTCCGGTTTTATTGTGCAGGATTTCCCGAATTCAGGTAAAAATTATAAAAATATAGAAGTCTCCTACAAACGTTTATTATTAATAAACGTTTGTAGAGACTACTATATTTTAAAAATTGTGTATATTAATATGAGCAACCAAATTTTGATATAGCAGAGTAAGGTTATTGCTTGTTATCTTGTGTAAGGTCTACGAATTTGCCAGACATTCTTTTGTCGGGCTATTAAATAAAACCAGTAATTAATGAATAGTTTTCCTGATCAGCTCGATAATCTTAAATAGCTGATCTACCTCGCTTGTGAGTTATTTCGGGTAGCCTTAATGTTTTTAATAAAACCTTTCTTAGGTGAGCAGTGAGCAGTGAGCAGTTATTATTAAGTAAGCTATTATTAGTCTATTATTTCCCTTAACACTAATGATAAAGAACAACCGATAGCCAATTTAAATGCGGCCTCGCTTTGAGTTAGGCAAAATTCGATTGAACTTCCAGACCGGCTTAAAATTAACCCGGATTAATTACCATCCCGGTTATCAAACGTATCGATTAATCACTGATGATAGGGCGAAGTAACTATCCTTGTTATCGGGATTTAATTTTGAGCTGTGCGTAGCAATAAGTGCCTTTAGTCTAGTCGTGCTTGTGTACACAGTACATGGTAGACGGAAAGGATTTGACTTAAAGCTACCCGGACGCAGTAGCAGCTCTGTCAGGTCTACTTGTCAGGTCTACTTGAGCGTTTAGGGCGCCCAATTTCGAGTTCTAATGAGCGGCAGTATTTTGGAATTTATATATTATGCTCACGACTATCAAGCAATTTTCATACATCGTTTGAGGTTCTCTAAATATGTAGACCACTACGGTAAATTGTACTAATTCCTTTTGTTTTGTAGCTTTGCTAGACCATGAGACGGTTTATTGAGGAGCTTGTGGGGAGGAGGAACGGAAAAAAAAGATGAACTGTACATGAACAACAGGTATGTTCTCGATGATATGGTGTGATAGATTACAGTATAACATGCTTACCAATAACTTGCACTGATATGAAAATTATAAATTACAAGTCTCACTTAAGTTGGTGAGCGCAATTACAGGGACTAAAACAAGCAAGGTTGACCCCAACTTGGCTAAACATAGGTACACGGTTGTTTAGAAATAGAATGATATGCTGCTCTAAAATTGGGCTCGCCTACTTAAGCAAACCCTCGTGTGAGACCCTCGTGTGAGACCCTCGTAATTTATGATCAGTTATCTTAGTAAAAGGCCAATGAGTGCCTTTTTTAGTTTTCACCAGTCATTTGCTTTATTTCACTTTGACTGTCGAGAGCCGTGATGCTCCCTACTAAACATTACAATGTTAAAAACTCATGCTCGGCCTTCTGAACTATTCAGCAAACTTTTGGTGGTCACACCAAAATTGACATCACTACTGTATGACGTCACTACTTAGCTGTATGACGTCACTACTTAGCTGTATGACGTCACTACTTAGCTGTATGACGTCACTACTTAGCTGCATAACGTAACTACTCTATGACGTCACTACTGCATAACGTCACTACTGTATGACGTCACTACTAAGCGTTATTTTTGAAAGCAGGAGCGCATTTTGCGAGAAATATGAGAGGAATCATTCATGTAATAAATAAATAAACTAAAAAAGCCGAATAAAAGAGATAAATAACATTACCTCTCCTACGTTAGATCCCGTCAGAGACAAGCTATTGTTAGTTCCTACGCTGTCAACAGAAATAACATCCAGTCTGAAAATATGATATTTTCAAATTAATTTCCTGGGCATAATATAACAACTTGCTGTACTACTGGTTCTAAACGATAAAATAACAAAATTTAGATAAATACACGATGACAGCATTGTAACCATATTAATTAAATAAAAACAGCTGATTAAATTAATAGTCCTTATTAAGATTCAAAGGTGTCCTTTGGTTTCTATGCCGATGCACAGAAACGCGCGTGCACTACCGTCGCAAAGTTATTTTACTTGCAATTTCGACGACAACAATTTGCGTGGAGTGAAACGCAGATGACAGGCTTTCTAGTCATACTATAAAATTATTATATTATTTAATATTATTGATTGTCATAAAATCATGTTATTACATAATGATTAATTAATGTAATGCAAATTGGTCGTCACCATCGTCAATCCTCATGGAACGGGCGAATGTTTTGTTACTGTATATTAGACATTTTGTTCTAATCCATCGGCGTGGCTTTGTACTATAGCACACCTATAGTTAATCTAGTTCTTTCTATCCGGAGAATTGTCACTCTGTATCGTAGACTCTTCTAAAGAGAAGATCAATCAGATGGTCGTGGAACACTCTGTATTGCTCCAGCTCCCGAATGCCGAAGGAGTAACATTTTGATAGGCATTATTTTAAATGGATATTTTTAATGGCATTTTTATAGCTGCAAACCCTTCAGAATAGTTATTTTAAACGTACGTTTTTTAATGACATTTTGATGTTTTTAATAAAAACATCAAAATGTCATTAAAAAATATCCGTTTAAAATAATAATTTATTTTTGTACGACATTTTTTGCATCTAGCTCCGACGAAATTGTTAGGGTTTTGCTGATCATCGATTTGATAATTACGAGGTTAAAGACAGCAGACCACTAAAATTGGTTGTTGGAAATCTGAGCGTAAGTTTATAATGTCATGTCTATTGTCTAAATCAATTATCAAACCGCTGGTCATGGTCCCTCTTCAATATAATAAGATTTACATAATATAAATAATTTCAATTTTTCTTTTTGGTAATTGTTACCTGTTCAACGTATAAAAGTAGGACGTTTTGGATAGACTATCAAACTGGCGTCCCAAGTCATCCTTAGTCTTTACCACGAAAGAGGCGGTAAGACCCATGGGTAAAGTGTAGTAGGGATACTCCGATGAGCGCTTAATTCCTGAAGGAGCAGTAGATTCCTCGAGTAGTAGCGCGAAGGGCGTCTTGACCTGTGGAATGTTGAATGGGTCATAATAAAATTGAGCTTGGAAATATAATGCCCGTTAAAATAAGACGATTGGGAATTGCGCCATGATGGCAATAGGATAAATTGTTCTGTTAACACGTGACACAATTAATATATTTTTCCGGACCCAATGTCATTATGTTCTCACAGCCGTGTTGGGTTAGCCGAAATGAATTTTACAAATGTTTGTATACATTTTTCCCACTCCAGCTGCAGTAGGATAGTGTTATTGGCATTTTCCTAACTTTCGTTAGATTATGTTGTTTCATCGTAGATAGTTTGGTTGAACCTTACGAGACATATTTAAAAGGTACGATAGTCAGTGGTTTTCCGAAGAAAAAAAACACCATATTTTCGGACATTATTTTCCCTAAATTATTTTCTTTAATTATGACTTTATGGATCTACTATCTGGAGTCGATTTACTTATATCAATATAGTAAGTTATAAATACTAGAGCAGGAACCCGTATAACCCTAAAATGGTGTCAAGACTCAGTCAAGAGACTAAAATAATTATTACCTATTTAATTCGCGTTTTTGACACCACTTGGGGGTCCAAATTTTGGGCTCTAAAACTCTTATTCCTTGGCCAATTTTTTATTTTTTCATGCTGATTTGGAGGCCATCACAGCGAGCTCGTTACCTCAACGATGCAAAATTCATAGACCTCTAGAACTCTTGAAGGACAGAATTATCTTTTATGTCAAGGATTTAGAGTAGTGAGGTGCGTCTAGCAGACTGGGCCAACAATTCTCCCACTTCAATAATTCAAGGTACCAAGTTGCCTTCGCAAATCAGCTCTAAGCCATCAAATTTTATACAATGAGTCCCATGTCCAGGAACATAGCTTGTAACATATTTTAATGAGTGCGCACCATTTTCATTAGTTTAGCATTATATTAAGATGTGTCCCTCGTCCAATGCTGAGACCCAGAGCCGGCCACCTTTGGTAAAACCTTCATCCCTTAAATTAGCAAGTATATTAAATGTGCTGACCATGAGGCCGATGTCAAATGGGCTCAGTTTATAATAAATATAAAGCATTTGACCCAGTCAAAAAAGTTTCAGTTGTATATCTTTTACGGTTTTTGCAGAAAGTCGAATTAAAGTTGATGCCGTGGTGTCAGTAAAATGGCACGGATCCATCCATCCATCCATATATATCGTCTCGCTTTATATATATAGTAAGATGATTCATGACGGTTGGACACGTTCCATTAGAAGTCAGCAAGCTCTGCTACTATTTCATTTGCCACGGCGGTGAAATTTCGGGAGTGGTGGAGGATCATAACAAACACCAGCGGTCTCCCATTCCGTCTGGAGGATTGGAAGTGAAGTTACAACTAACTTTCGAGCTTGTATTGCGAAGGGGAGGCCTGCCTTCCGAGATCGCATTACAAAGGGGAACCCTCGAGTCCAAAATCGTATATCGAAGGGGTAGGTGCGAACTTCGAAAACCGAAAAAAATATTTTCGGCTCATAATGACCAGGGTAGCATGAAACACATGAGCAAAAGTAGTTTCCAAGAAAACTTTGAAAATTCATGACTTGGTTATGACATGATGGTAACCAGATCATATGACTGCATTTTCTGGAATAGGAAGTCTCGAGCATTCTCTAGGGAGGCCGTGGGTCCATTCATTTCGTCTAGTAGACAGAAGAGTACCATGTCAGGAATTGGAATAGTTGTTGTTGATGATGGCAACTGATAATACTCAACCAAAAACGAACGACTTATATACCACATTTAAATCGTAATCATTTATTTCATTGAGCAATATACTACGATACAATCAATGCTATTCGTAACTAATTATATCCGAGAGACCACATTCGAATCGTAATCAATAGTTTGATCCAGCAATTTACTGTCGGACTATCTGGATACTGCCCGGTGGAAGTCAATCCTCCAGGTCAAGTTTCTAGATAATTTCAGGATTAAAAACCTGAATATGATCGTACGGAAGGTCACAATAAATCCTCCGAAAGATTAATAGCACCCAGCAACAGCAGTGAGCGGCAGTCTGATGAATTACCTGTATGTTCATTGTTCAGTAGAATAGTCTGATGAATTACCTGTATGTTCAGAAGAATAGTCTGATTGACGTTGTGGTCCTCCAGTATATCTATCTTTAGAACCGCTACACCTAGTTTATCTGCATGCGCCGCTCCATCTGAAGGGAGGTATAGTGTTAGGAAGCAGGGACAAAAGGATTTCGCGATTATTTTGGCCAATTTTTACCCCCCCCCCCCGATACCACTATACATCAAATTTGTCGCAAATAATGGGAAAAATCGCGATTCCGTACATGCCGCGATTTCCTTTTGTCCCTGTTAGAAAGGGGACGCCTTTTGTAATGCTTACATTTTAAAAACTCTCAACTTAATCAAGTGATCAGTTAACTTGGCTGCTTACAGTCGCGTAATCAAACAAATGTGAGGGCGTGTGTCGTGTGACACGTTATTGCTTTATTGGTATTAGGGTTGGAGAGGTGAATTATTTAGAGGATTTAATTATCAAATTCTTCAATTTAAAAGAACTTTCTCAAATTATTTGCTGTATAATTATAGTAGCAACTAAATTATTTAAACACGTTAGCAGTTTGCTTAACTCGTCGATGTTACTTAACGAGTTTAAAAGCATCAGGTAAGTTTTACTTCTTCAGAAAACGTCATATGATCAACTTCCACAATCCATCGCTTCGGCCCCACTAAGCCTAAACAATAAACACAGAGGACAATTAATTGTTATTATTGTGCTAATACTTAAGTTTTAACATTAATACAATCACGCCATTCGTAACACTGTAAGCTTCACAGCTGACATAATCTCTGATGGTCTGATGAATGATTCATATAATGATGACTATAACACCACCTCCCTGGCGGCATCAACTGAGACAATTTAATTTCCTGGATCATAGAGAATTATATTGTATAATAATGATAAAGTAACACATTCAGCCTTGCTTGCTAACACAATATCTAATTGTCTGACAGCACACGACATCATACAACCTCGTGTATCAGACCACTTAATTTCTGTTTCGTGTCTCAAATCTGCGCTCAACAGCCACCAATACCACATCCTAAGATTCGTACTATTTCCGGAGTATTTTATGATGGCGGAGTCTTCCAAGCGGACAGCGGGGTTGAAAACCTCCTCTTTGCCACATATCAATCCTATTGCCAGTTACGACAGACGAGCTTCTTCAGCTTCGCTACTCAAAGCAAGAGGCAGGTAGGAAAGCTGATGATAGGTACTTAAGGTACTATAGGCACTATATAGAGTTGTATGTACCCTGCATCTATTTCAATTGGGGTCTCCCGAAATTATTATAACCATGTTTACAACTTTATCATTGTAAAATGAATTTGGAAATTTGTTTTGAAACACGGTCATTTTTTTCAGTAAATCGCGATCTAAATTCACATACACTAAACACACTGACCAACCATCTGCTTCACTTAATTTGGGATGAATGTTTTTAAATGAGATTAAAAGTAGATCCCATGACCCATTCAACACTTTCAGAAAAAGCCACAAAAATTTCCATGGTCCATCCAATCGAAACCAACCTCCCCCTCCCCTGCTCCCTTAATGAAAATCTAAGTGCATCCCAAAAAGTTAAACGCTTAAATTTGATAAACTTTGGTAACGCCTGTCTAGCTTTTTGGTAAACTAGTTAATTATAGTGTTTCCCAACTGTTGTCACAGTCCAAAGCGTGTTAGATCATCTTTCAACCTGGTCTAGAAGACTATGCTCTTTAGAATGCATTTGAAATTGTACCGTTAACATTTGACAGATTATTCAAATTTGTTGAAATCTATCGACAAAATTTAATGAATATTAGTTTGAGAAGAAATCGCATATAAGTTAAAAGAACTAGTTTTTTTAGTTTGTCAGTGATTTCTTAAGAATAGGTCAGATAAAGATACGTTCAGAGCGCTCCACATATAATTGACGCACCTTTATTAACAAAACCACTCATCACAGACACAAATAAAACTGTCTTATATTATTTGTGACGCAGCAGTCCTACATATCGTGCTTTCAATGAACACTGCAGTGATACCGAGTTTTGAACCTATTTCCGCTAGCCGCCTTCATTTTACAGCTATCCTATTTATTTCACAGCTGCCACATTTTAATGCGCTTCTAGTGCATTAAACTCCAGCCTACTGCACCACCAGCACCACATTTAATGGCACCCTGACGTCACAATGTGCTCCAAACCGGTGTAAAACTTTCCGTCTCAGCAAAATACCCACCATTTAGAATGTAGAAAATTTTACGGTACCACGTTGGAAGTGAGTTAAAGCCAGAGTAATTCATAAGACTGGATCAGTAACTGTGATATCAAGTTCAGGATCATTTATGTTCTTAAATTTCTATATGTATGAGTTTCGATTGCAATCGTTTCATCAGATAGTAATTCGCACGTGCAAGACGTTTTTGTAAAAATTGCCATGAATTGCCGAGTGCTAAGAGCACTATCTTGTTTCAGTTTAGCCGTGTACAATTTAAGTTTAACCTGCAAATCGGCATTATATTGACTGTAATTACAGTATGACGTTGCTAAGTAACTCTTTTGAAGGTGATACTAAATTCTGATTTGAGAAATTGGTTGAAAATTATAAAAGATTGCCGCGCCGGTTTGGTTAAATCTTTTTAAAGAATCAGCTATTCTCGTTTTTAAGTAGACGAATTTGTTTTAATATTAAAAGACTTCGTATGTCTGCGCGGACCGATGCGCCCTGAGTACGCACTCCGCGGCCCCTCCTTCTATGCATATTAGGGGTCGCATATTCCAATTCTTATGCGTACTAAATTTATCACATTTATAAGCTAACAGTAACAGTATTGGAATTTATGCCTCCTAGGATTTCCACTACAAAATCTGTAAGTCTAGGTAGGTATTCTAGTGTAAGTTATCCGTTTATCGCACGTGACAAGAGCGATCCTGGGATTTTAGCTTAACTTAACAGCCAAGAAACTACTCTAGGGGGGGGGGGGCAACGTTTTGTAGATTAAGGTAGATAAAAGTAGAATGTCATCCTTTTTTTTGCGAATTCTACTCTACTTTATTCTACGTTATCCTACTTTATTCTCCGTTGGCCCCCAAAGTTTTGTAGATTAAGGTAGATAAAAGAAGAATGTCATCCATTTTTTTGCGAATTCTACTCTACTTTATTCTACTTTATCCTACTTTATTCTACGTTGGCCCCCAAAATTTTTTAGATTAAGGTAGATAAAAGTAGAATGTTATCCATTTTTTTGCGCATTCTACTCTACTTTATTCTACTTTATTCTATGTTGGCCCCCAAAGTTTTGTAGATTAAGGTAGATAAAAGTAGAATGTCATCCATTTTTTTTGCGAATTCTACTCTACTTTATTCTACTTGCCCCCCCCCCCCCCCCCCTACTCTAGCTTGACAGGAAAAAATGCCAGCTTCGCGACAATGCGCTAGTGAGGGATGTTAATAATTCATGGTTAAGACTATGTAATGTTATGCAACTATTAATTCTGAGCTGAAATGGTGCAATAATTTAATAAATTTCTTCAAAATTCTCAATACTTTCGACATGCCATATATTATTATTATATAAGCTCTGGGTTGCAGTTGGTCACCAAAATGTCGATGAAATTTCACACGATATTTTTGCTCAAAGATATCAGGATATAATAGGTCACTTGATCTGATCTTATGATACCCCGGCCCTCTCTACTTATTTTGTAGACTTTTTAAATCCTACTACATCTGAACTTCAACATGCTGATTTACGTAGTTTGCACGATTACATTATTTTGACTCATACATAAGTGATCCCAATAGCATAGTAATAGCTAATGGTATCATCTCTATACTTAATGAGAATTTTGCGTGGAAATGTCGTGATTCTTGCAGCATTGTGATACTATTCATTATAACCAGATGATATATGCTAAACTCATTGCCATTAATATTATTGTCGATCATTTTCTTGGCTCGACTTTCAAAATCCATAATTTCAGTTTCGGTGTTCTTCTTTAAGCACGGATTTTACCCTTACCCCAAAATTCCAGACTGTTCCCAAGGACTACCACTTACTTACTTACTTTGATATGAATGAGGTTTAGCCAAAAGAGTCAGGGTCATAGTGAGAGTGATATATCACAATGATTATCAATGAATAAACTCAGCGAACTATTGTTAACAATAGGTGATGCAGTTGTAACGATTTAATTAGCACGGTGATAACTGATAAGCCTCAACAGCTGAGTGATACCTAATTTAGGTATCACTCAGCTGGTTGGCCTCATAATCAACGTAGACATGATGAATTTATTCATTAAATTAAAATTTGATAATCTCCATTGCATCGCCGAGAAGAACCTTGTTCGCAGAATTGTTATTTTTGCTGACGTAGATATTTGACGTAGTTAATGTTAAGATGCTAAAAACCCATTGTTTCATGAAATTGTATTTATTCTGAAACAATGTTAAAGGCCAATTAATCTTAACAGCGGATATGGTAACCAAATCAATTAGTATAAGTAGGACTGTAATTATGACTATAATTACATAAATGTAAGCATGTCATTGATAATACAGGTCAGATTATTCTTTAGACTGTAGCTAATGATCTCAAATCGATGCTAGATTCAACTACGTCACTAAATTATAAATTAGAGGGGCGTACGAGGGGTCAGGGTCCAGGTTAAATAGAAGAAAAGGGGGGAGGTGGAGCAGGACGTTGTGGACGGGACAACATCAGTATTCAGTATGTTACCAAGACCCATCAAGATTGGGGTTCGAACAGATGATACACGGCTCTTTGATCTGATAACACGATTAATGTCATTAAAAGCGAGATTATGTGGACTGGTCACCTGACAGTGAAGCCTCCTGCAATTATGCCTTATAGACATAACGTGACCCGTACTTTATGGGTATCGAATCTTAATTTAGTCACAAGAGCCAAGACCGCGTTTATTTTGCCCAGATCACAAAGCCCCTCCAGTGGGGACATGAGATGCTCTGGCTGATCTCGCGATGGTTTCCGATAACAAGGACTATACATTTTGAGTTTTAACGTCTACGTTCTAATTTTGGTAGTTGCGAAATTATTGGGTGTCTCCGCTTTGAGATTACTTTTTAGTAACATACCATTGCACTTAGGTTCTTCTTGATGATGTTTGACACTTCACACTTACATGCTTTAATGGTTGTACATTTGATGGGTGATAGTATTTTGGACACTTTATGACCGCAGACCGTATAACCCTGAGGCATTTAATCCAATTCTTTGCTACCCACGCATACGCTAAATACCATTACTCGGCAGAAAATGACACGGCAATTTGTTCTGGTTTTTTATTGACAAACATAGTAAAATGTTTTGCGGTCCCAGGCTCTGCTTTATTTCAAATTTTTGTAGTAATTAGTATAAACTATTTTTCCCACTCTTTGTCACTTTACAGTTATAAAGTTTACGAGTTTTTGTTCCGCATCATAATTTGACACTGTGACTATGTAGTCAACAATTAAATGTGGAATTTGGCTTTCCCTGTTGTTACTAATTTGAGCAGAACATTGACATTTAACATTTCCTTAATTCCCAAACATTTGTGTGCTAACAATTTGAGCGGGAGATTTGGACTTGTTTATTTGCCATTAATTTAATTAATTAATGAATAAATGCGAAAAAATTGGACGAGACTGCCGCCAAATTTTTGGGAACCAAGGCAATACGAATTTAATGTGACGAATGCCAATAGTACAGTGGCTCACTACAATTCATGCTAAGCCTAAACTAGTGTATGTAATATTTATATTACCAGTTCGATGAGGGTGCATCTCACTAATTATAATGGAACTTTGGGTTTCAGGTCACACTTTTGATAATTACTTACATGTGTTATTCTGTGTCGGTGTCACTATTATATCTGTGTCGGTGTCACTATTATATCTGTGTCGGTGTCACTATTATATCTGTGTCGGTGTCACTATTATATCTGTGTCGGTGTCACTATTATATCTGTGTCGGTGTCACTATTATATCTGTGTCGGTGTCACTATTATATCTGTGTCGGTGTCACTATTATATCTGTGTCGGTGTCACTATTATATCTGTGTCGGTGTCACTATTATATCTGTGTCGGTGTCACTATTATATCTGTGTCGGTGTCACTATTATATTCTGTGTCGGTGTCACTATTATATCTGTGTCGGTGTCACTATTATATTCTGTGTCGGTGTCACTATTATATCTGTGTTCACATTTTTGTCACCACTTCAATTTGGATACTCTGTAGTCTGTTGATACTTGATATAGCATTGTTGACTATTCAGAGGACATTGTAGTCGAGTCACGTGTAGCTATATGAAACAACTAAAATAATTGAGTCGATAGACCACATATTCCATAAGGTACATATTATGAACTGAATAAAATTTGAATAGACACTGACAACGACATTAAAGGGCTTGAAATTCGAAATTATTTGAAGCGAATTAAATCAAATAGTCTTCATCAGAGTAAGAAACATCCGGTAATTCGGTTATCTGTCGATGAACCGGGTATCAGTTGGCGCTGGGTTCGGGTACAATTGGGCATAGCCGGGGCAATCTGCCAACGCACGGTTGGGACACCGACAGATTACCGAATTACCTGACCATCTCACTTGTCGTCTAATGTCAATTCAGAGGGCTCACCTTTCTGTATAACGTGTATATATAGCCTCTCTCGTGTAAAGAAACATCAAAGTATGGTCTTTGTCAAGATTGGTGGATGACCAGTCGGTAAACTGTCACCATTAAAACAGTAAATTTGACAAAATACGAGGTTCTGGTATTAACCTTGCCTTTGAAGTGTGTTTCAAGACACCTAATTTTGCCACCCAGGCATGCGCCGAGACGACAGCAGAATTTGGTTTGAGATGATTGCAGCTTATTGTTATGAATCATTCGTAGCCTTCGATATTATACTTTCCAGCATGTTCGATGATAGTGGCACTTCCTAATACAATACAAATACAATAATCAGCCATCGGGCAGCTCTAATTTTATTAAATGGTATTGGTTGTACTTGTATCATTCATTTTTGTTGATACTTGACTCTGCTCTGTTACTTTTTTCTTGATTCGACAACTGTTCCTGTTATTAGTCTACGGAGATTTTAAAGATAAATCACAGCAATGTTTAACTCGAAATTTAATTTTCCAAGTACTTAATTGGTTTCGCTGATCAATTCCTAGCTAGTGTCACGATGGAGCTGAAAATCCTGGATGACACCATCGATCCTTTAGGGGTGTTTCTAGAAACGAATTCACATAAATTACCACGGTAAGAATCTGACTAGGACCTGGTCTGTTTGATTAGATCCACCGTCTTCATGGTTCAATCCAACCAATATTTTACAGCTAACTAAAAAACAGATGGACTCCAGATCCACATATAAAACAAACTAGCTTTTGCTTTTCACAATTAATACAGACCTGTATGGACAGTGATGACCCCATCTCCTTGAAGTAGGGAGTAATGCACGGTGTGAGAGTGGTCCTTGTTAGTCCTGATGTTGTAGACTGAACCTGGTCCTAAAATCAGGTCTGGAATGTCTGGGCCAGCTGGGGCGACCAGCACCGCTTTTCTTATCACCTGACGAAATTAAAAGGGATTCGTCAAATTTTAGATTTCACTGATCACTCAGCTTAGGTTTCGGTAGGAGGGCAATAGAATGCAAACCGAATCTATCAAATTCGACGTTTACATGAAGAAAAAAAAAACTCACTTGAATTGAGATAGAATCAGAAAGTGCAATGACGTCTCCGTTAGAATCAGTGTACGTTGCGGTGGCGCTGATAACAGTTATCCCTTGCTCCAACCCTTTAGCCGAAACAGCAAACTGTTTCTCGTCTTCTACCGTGTACCCCGACTGGAATTAAGATAGAAATTTAGGATTATTACGACCTTTATTGGAAGAAAAAACTAACTGAAAATTTCTTACAGATTATTTTTCTTTCGACCAATTTTTTAATTTACATTTCTAATTCTGGTTATTAAATGAGGGAATGATCATGTTTCTTTTCAGGGTACACAGCCTCCGACTGGATAGCAGATCAGACAGAGGAAGTTTCAACAGGCAGACGAGCTCTCAGAGTACGTTTAGTGTACAGAGCTTATCTAGTATTGGTAAGTAAGATAACACAGAATTTTGTGGTTTTAATATGTAAAAGAATGATAATGAAACCAATAAATACAGGGAATTTTCTGGACAGAAAAAAAAAACAAACAATGCATAATTGAAATTTGCTTGGTGATCTAAAATCTTATAAAATGTCGAAAATCTTACAAAATAACGTCAACGATAACTCAATGCCCTGCAATCATCTGATTCACGAAATTTTTGTTTAAAAGTTCAAATCGCTGCATTCCATTTAAGTCTGACACACAGTCATGGTGCGGAGAATTAAAACCACATTGCGACTTGGTCTGTGTTTCGTTCTCGAATAACTCGACCATTGAGATCGTTGTCCGACATTCCTTTTCTTGCTGAAGATGATGCTGGGAATTGCTGAGTAAATTACTTATGAAATCGTTAATTACTGGAACAACCTCTCGCTTAGTTGTTTTTTGCTTCAGATTCTCGTTTGTGGCCGTTCTGAGTATCATCAAGTTCTCTGCAATCTTATGACCCAATTCATTGATGGGATCAATGGAAGGTGCGGATGGTGAAATTGAAAGCATAGATCGTGTTTGGGCAATCATTAGTTGACTGTCATTTCCTTCAAGCTCGCTAGCATTTTCTTCTGCGACTGACGATATCGAGCTAGGTAGAAAAGTAGGAATAAGAGGAGGCAAGATTTTCCCTGATAATACCGATTTTGTCAAAGCTTTGTTATCAGCTGCCATCAATTCAAGACTATCAGTCGGAGCAATATGTGAAAGTGTAGGTTCATTTGAGTCATATCGTGACAAGTAACTTGAATTTGCCACGGTTTTCTCCATCAAAGTTAAAGGTGGTGGATACATACTCGGCAATTCACGTTCTTCAGGCGTGTTGACTACATGGACAGGTGGATAAAAGCAACTCACAGTTTCATACTGAAAGCAATAAACAGGATATCGGTAACGTTTGAAATCGGTAGAATATTTTGCAGGTTCCCTTTCAGATCGTGGTATAAGAGGTCTCATTTCAGCTTCAAGTTCAATGTCACAAAGATCTACACTACTGCTCTCCGATTTAGAATCGACGACGAATGCAGATAACGATATAACATCCGTTTTGAGCTCATCATATAGGTTTTGGTAGTGACTCGAAGACGAAAATGGATTCGACAACTTGACGTCTGGAATAACTGGATTGGGTACACTAAATCCACATCCCATCTTTAAGGCTTACAAAAGAACACGCGACGAATATATTATGAAAATGGGACAAGTTTTAGGTTCATATTCATCAGAGCTCCTTCATAAATTGAGTTGTAAATTTTAAGTAAGTAAATTTAAGTCGGTAAATTTTAAGTAAAAAGTGTAGACAATTTAAACCGATATAATATGCAGATTGCTTCGATAAGATTACTGAATATTATAGAAATGAAAATCTTGCCTATATCAGTTTATGAGGAACTGTTTGATATCCCGCGCGAATAGTAAACGCACGCTCGTGTAAACAATGCAAGAAGTAAACGAACATACCAGTCGGAAGCGATTGCGCGCAGCAACAATAGAATGATGATCGAATCATATACACGTGCTAATAAGATGCACGCGCGCAGCATTTTGGCGACTGGCGGGCGACATCTGAAATCAATGCCGAATTGCACTTTGCAGTGAACCGACAACCATAGTGACATAGTCATAGATTAGTCCATACTTCATCTAAGAATAAACGACTTCACTTAATAGGGGAACGAATTACAAGCGGAGCTCAGCAAATAGGAGTCGCACTAAAAGAGACAGGAGTTGCTTTTAAAGATTCAAGTAAGTTTAAATTCATAAACTGACACTAAGATGCAGATACAGTTAATTTCAAATCTTTGCGCCGATTAATAAGAAAATATTTGTAGTGTTTAGCTTGAGGTTGAAATGCACTGTTTCAGGTGCTAGGCGACTATCAGAGAGTAAAAAGATCATTGGAAATGGCATTGGTTGCATCCGACAAATTTCAGAGGACAAGGTAATCTTAGAATAAAATCACACAATTTAAATTTTTAGCTGTGGTAGTTTTTAGTTGTATTTATGGGGGGGGGGGGGGGGGGGGGCAACCATATTAAAGTATATTAAAATGTAGGATTTTTCCCGATTTTGACCCGGGGATATACTTTAATATACTTTAATATACCTACAATATACTTTAATATATCCCTATCTCCTTGGAGGCCTACATCAAAAATTGTTGCCCAAAATAAGCTTGAAATGCAATTCTTAATCGATTCCAAAAATTTCTTGAAAAAATATTGAAAACTGATGGAGTTATTTCAATTTTAATGAAGTCATTTTGGCTAGTATTCCGAACCGAGATATTATGTGCAATTTTCCCAATTTTGTTCATGGAGGTCTTTTTACTTAGTATCCACTACATTCAACAAACACTGAGTTATATCTTTCACATAGAATTAGTCTCATTAAAAAATATTGAAATTTTATCGAATTTGGGCAAAAGCGAATTTGGGCAAAAGCGTATGCCCAAATATGGGCATATTTTTTAAAGCTCATAGCTCAGCCAATTTTTGACCAATCTGGATGGAAATTCATGTACTAGTCCTAAAACAGGCTTATCTTGCGAATCTGAGTGAAAAATATAGTTCATCATGTAAATCTTAACGAAGAATATAAATCTTCTAATTGTAGGTATATTAAAGTATATTAAAATGTAGGATTTTTTCCGATTTTGACCCGGGGATATACTTTAATATACTTTAATATGGTTGGCCCCCCCCCCCCCCCCCCCCCCATTTATTGTTTGTTTCGATTTTTGTCACAATTTTAAACCTTGCTAATTAAGAGCCTGTTATGGCCAGATTAAGGACATGGCCGCTTTACACTAACATAATGACCACTGCTCGATTTAACCCAGCTTGCTGGTCTATGGCTCACTGCTCTCTGAGAGATAGAAGTGAAAATAAATGAGCGCTGAAGGAATGATGAATGACGCGCCGGGTTACCTGGGGTTCCCAGGCTATAATTGATAATGTTCATAAGCAATAGTGAATAGAGATTCGGCGGAATGACAGGCTGAGCGCCGCCCAGTAACGCACCGGGTAATTCTCGATTAGGTTCTAAAATCTAATCTCTGAAGCTTCTGTCCTCAACATTTGGAGACAATAACGACAAATAATCAAGATATTTCAGTACTGGTTCGGTGAGGTAGCTTGTACCGAAGCTCGGGCGTTTGTTGATACCAAGCCCATAAGACATTACCCAACAATTGAAGAGGAATATGATCCCAGATATCCTGGCGCTCATCTAGCACTGTGAGTTGTGTTTGTATAATTTTTGTATAATTTGTTTCTGTCAGTAAACACATTGACTACTAGAAGCCTTCGCGCCAATGTTGCCTGTCGGTCAGTTTTCTTGTTTGTATTTGTGATTCGGGTCCGTTTGCCGTATAATCATTCACATTTCACAGTTTTATTCTGTACGTAATTAAGGTACGTAGACTAAGAGTAAATTTGGTAGCTGTTTGGGTTTTGAGTGATATTATGGTACCGCTTTAGATTCGTACATTTTCATTGGTACTTCAGTATGAGGTAATACTTGGGAGAGCACGTGATAAAGTACATCCCATCATTTTACTTCGATAATTTTCATGTCAGTGACCAGCTGGCGCTGCTGTCAACGGTTAGGTGCAAATTTATGTCTATTAGAGTATAAGTTAAATCAGTGATTCATATTTCACGGGCGACAGAACAGGTGACATGCACACCCGAAATAGCTCAACCATTTCCTCGGTTTACTAAAGCAGCTCAATTTGATCATCTTCCGGTCACCTTGTGATAAAGACTGTTGAGCTGGATTTTATCTGAACTGGATGTCCACGTGAACACTATTCCAGTAACACTGGCGAATGTAAAGGGACTAAGCCCATCTGAACCTGAAAAATTGAAAAATTGTTAAACAGAAGCAACAATTTAACTGAGATGTGATGTTCATCGGCCATGAACCGGACAGCTTTACGCGCCACGGATATTTTTATTTCTGATCACAGATCAAGGAGTTAGACATGCGAACAATATCGCTTTAATAGCCAGTTAAATCATATAAGTACGAGATCCTATCGATGATAAGACTCTTTGTAATTAGCAAATGTTTACCAAACGCCACCACTGCACTCACCCCATACTGTGAGAGGAATCTCTGAACTCTCAATGATATAGGTACTCGGGGCTTGTATCTCGATACCTTTCAGCTTGATAACTTCCACCGATACTGCAGCCTGTAAAAGTGTGATATTTTTATTTTTTTTTTTTAATTTATTTTTTTGTTTGATATGTTTACAGGGTTGATCGTTTGATGGTATCATAAATCACGATTTAAAAAGTCTGGATAAAAGTAGAGTAAACATCTTCTATAAGGTTGACCTTGCTATAGATCACGTCACTGTCACTGCGAACTCCGATACACTTCCCCACAACTTCAACACTTCCTTCCACCACTCCTGCAGAATGGAGCCAGATATGTCAAATAGTTTCTTTTACTAACGTTATAATGATAAATATAACGTTAGTTATTTACTAAACTCACAATACTCTAAGTTATTAAATAAGCAGTGCTCCAGAATAAGGAGTACTCTAAAGTACCGGTTACAAGAGCTCGCTGGTTAATGGTGGCTGTGGTTGTGTTGAGAGAGGAGAATTCCAAAGAACTGTCATGTTGGGGACCTCCGCTGTATCGTAGCTATCATGGTAGAGAGACAAATGTTAAGATTGTACCGTATTTAGATTGTACAGAATATGCAATATTGAGAATAAATTGCCAAAAATTATTATTCAAAACGCTAATTTTTTCGTTTGTGGGACGACGATTAGAAAACATTTTACACTGTGTTGTATTTGAAAAAATACAGATGTGAGAGATTCAGAGGCATAAGCTCAAAATGTACGATGCGAACAAACTAGACGAAAAAACTAGACGAACAAACTAGACGAACAAACTAGACGAACAAACTAGACGAACAAACTAGACGAACAAAGTACAAACTGACCTGAAAGACGGCTCCCTCCACCAGAACAAGGGGAGAAGGAGAGAGAAGAAGAGGCGGGAAGACAGTGATAGAGAGAAGGTTAGAGTCTACGTTGGTACTGCCACTAACACTGAACTGCACTGTGGACGTACCCAGAGAGATACCCCTTACTCTGACAGTGGATTATTAAGTTTAGGATAGGAATCTGACTGTTGCGTTGCAAGAGGATTAAAATATTGTTAAATTGCTTTTGTTTGTGTCGTGCTATGATTGAAATCGTCTTGTAAGTTAGAAAATTAGCTAGTTTAAACTAAAACTCACTGGTACAAAGTGCAGAATTCATCACAAGAAGTCTGGTCCTCTGCCGAGTGTATCGAGATATGAGGATCTGGTGAGATCTGGTGCCGGAGATCAAGCTTAGGAAATACTGCCGATGATATCTTCCTGATAATACAATCAGCGTAAATAATTATGGAATTGTTCATGATTGGGGGACTGGTCCGTAGTACCAGCCAATGTTTACTCAAAAGTAATATATAATTGAAATAAGTTAAATATTCATCCCCGAGGGGCACGCAGATTATAAATGTGATGTTATCTATTAAAACTATTCGATTAAAATTTTATTGGTCGAGTCGACTGGCCCTGATCTGCAAACATATTTGATATTGGTAACTTTATGATGCTGCCTCACCGCAATTAGGTGTGTTATCAGTGAAGATATGCGCTATGTGGCAGTGAAATAAGGAATGTGCTGTTAGAATGGCAGGTGGTTAGAAATGTTGTCCTGATTCAGATTGTTTAATTTGAGCTGTATGAGTTTGGTTTTGAGTGATTATTGACTATGTTCTTTGTGATTTACGTAATCCAGGTAGGTTGTGGAGTAAAAATGGTGGCCATTCGTCGTTGCAGCCAGCACTTTGCAAGTCTAGTAGTACTTTTTTTGACGAATTCTTATATATGTTGATAGAAAATATACTGGATGGGCATGTAATGCGAGTGTTATGCTCTGAAATAGCGAGCATTGGGCCTTTATAAAAGATGCTAGATCTCAGGTCAGTCTGTGAGTAAATTGATAACCAGTCTAAGTTTTGTTCGTGTGTCGTTCCTTGTTTGGGTGTGATTATAACGGTAACAATCTAATTGTACCAAACACTAAAATATCCTGTCATTTTGTATCATTCATAATATGGATTAATAACATATACAGGGTGTTTCAAAAATAATGTCCTGATTTTAAAAAACAATAAAATTTTTGCTCCTTTATAAAAGTTTATTGTTTTTTAAAATCAGGACATTATTTTTGAAACACCCTGTAGTTTAATCCAAGTAAAGGTAACCTGTTGTTAGAGTCGATGACTGAGAGGCTGAGAAGAGCGGAGCTGTGTATCTCCAACTGAGATACGGTTCTTATCACCACTTCGGCTGGTCCGGTCACGTGAACGTTACATCTGAGGCGATGTTTCAGGCATGACTTCTTTTTGTTAGTTCAGTTCGTTTTCAATTTTAATCTTAATCTTAATTTTCAGTACGTTTTACCTAACAATATCATTTTTTAGCTAGCAGAATGGTTTTCAGAGGGCATTAATGAAATGTAATATGAGCTGGTCCCAAGTCCAGACGCCATTTTATTCTTTGTAATTTTCAATAACCCTGTCTAGTCATTGACTACTGATTTAGGTTTAGATAGTTATGGCTAAAAAGCAGTGATAAGAAAACGTTAAGTCGTAGTAAAGTTATTATTAAATCATATTAAAGTCATAATAAAAACGTCTTTAAGTGATAAGATGTAAACCGTGCGGCTTGTTGGGGTAAGCAGAGATCTTGCACGGTCAATGTGGTCACTCCTTGTAGATGCGGGGTCATCTGAAAATGTGATTCAACTAAATTGATTATGATTAATAGCCCAGCTATCTCCATTAAAATAGTTTTATCGTAAGTGGTAGACAGTATTTAACGCAATCTGAGGACAGCTTATAAAGCAGGAGAAATGCGGCAACATTTTTCTAAATTCCTCGTAAAACTATTATCTGAGAAACTCATCTGAGAAACTCACAAGAATGGGAGAAGAATCACCAGCAGACATGTTGACCACACCCGGACTGTTGACAGTGGAGGAGTAGGTCCCAGACCCTCCACTTACTGTTACCTCTCTGGAACCTAGGGGAAGATTTACAGGGTGTTACACTCTGATACATGGTGTTACAGGGTGTTACACTCTGATACATGGTGTTACAGTCTGATACATGGTATTACATGGTGTTACAGTCTGATACATGGTGTTACACTCTGATACATGGTGTTACAGGGTGTTACACTCTGATACATGGTGTTACAGGGTGTTACACTCTGATACATGGTGTTACAGGGTGTTACACTCTGATACATGGTGTTACAGGGTGTTACACTCTGATACATGGTGTTACATGGTGTTACACTCTGATACATGGTGATACAGGGTGTTACACTCTGATACAGGGTGAATGGTGATACAGGGTGTTACACTCTGATTCATGGTGTTACACTCTGATACATGGTGATACAGGGTGTTACACTCTGATACATGGTGTTACACTCTGATACATGGTGTTACAGGGTGTTACACTCTGATACATGGTGTTACAGGGTGTTACACTCTGATACATGGTGTTACATGGTGTTACACTCTGATACATGGTGATACAGGGTGTTACACTCTGATACAGGGTGAATGGTGATACAGGGTGTTACACTCTGATTCATGGTGTTACACTCTGATACAGGGTGAATGGTGATACAGGGTGTTACACTCTGATACATGGTGATACAGGGTGTTACACTCTGATACAGGGTGAATGGTGATACAGGGTGTTACACTCTGATACAGGGTGTTACACTCTGATACAGGGTGTTACACTCTGATACAGGGTGTTACACTCTGATACATGGTGTTACACTCTGATACATGGTGTTACACTCTGATACAGTGTGTTACAGGGTGTTACACTCTGATACATGGTGATACATGGTGTTACACTCTGATACATGGTGATACAGGGTGTTACACTCTGATACATGGTGATAAATGGTGTTACACTCTGATACATGGTGTTACATGGTTTTACACTCTGATACATGGTGATACATGGTGTTACACTCTGATACATGGTGTTACATGGTGTTACACTCTGATACATGGTGTTACATGGTGTTACACTCTGATACATGGTGTTACAGTCTGATACATGGTATTACATGGTGTTACAGTCTGATACATGGTGTTACACTCTGATACATGGTGTTACAGGGTGTTACACTCTGATACATGGTGTTACAGGGTGTTACACTCTGATACATGGTGTTACAGGGTGTTACACTCTGATACATGGTGTTACAGGGTGTTACACTCTGATACATGGTGTTACATGGTGTTACACTCTGATACATGGTGATACAGGGTGTTACACTCTGATACAGGGTGAATGGTGATACAGGGTGTTACACTCTGATTCATGGTGTTACACTCTGATACATGGTGATACAGGGTGTTACACTCTGATACATGGTGTTACACTCTGATACATGGTGTTACAGGGTGTTACACTCTGATACATGGTGTTACATGGTGTTACACTCTGATACATGGTGATACAGGGTGTTACACTCTGATACAGGGTGAATGGTGATACAGGGTGTTACACTCTGATTCATGGTGTTACACTCTGATACAGGGTGAATGGTGATACAGGGTGTTACACTCTGATACATGGTGATACAGGGTGTTACACTCTGATACAGGGTGAATGGTGATACAGGGTGTTACACTCTGATACAGGGTGTTACACTCTGATACAGGGTGTTACACTCTGATACATGGTGTTACACTCTGATACATGGTGTTACACTCTGATACAGTGTGTTACAGGGTGTTACACTCTGATACATGGTGATACATGGTGTTACACTCTGATACATGGTGATACAGGGTGTTACACTCTGATACATGGTGATAAATGGTGTTACACTCTGATACATGGTGTTACATGGTTTTACACTCTGATACATGGTGATACATGGTGTTACACTCTGATACATGGCGTTACATGGTGTTACACTCTGATACATGGTGTTACATGGTGTTACACTCTGATACATGGTGATACAGGGTGTTACACTCTGATACATGGTGTTACATGGTGTTACACTCTGATACATGGTGTTACACTTTGATACATGGTGTTACAGGGTGTTAGACTCTGATACATGGTGATACAGGGTGTTACACTCTGATACATGGTGTTACATGGTGTTACACTCTGATACATGGTGTTACACTCTGATACATGGTGATACAGGGTGTTACACTCTGATACATGGTGTTACATGGTGTAACACTCTGATGCATGGTGATACAGGGTGTTACACTCTGATACATGGTGATACAGGGTGTTACACTCTGATACATGGTGATACAGGGTGTTACACTCTGATACATGGTGATACATGGTGTTACACTCTGATACATGGTGTTACATGGTGTTACACTCTGATACATGGTGTTACATGGTGTTACACTCTGATACATGGTGATACAGGGTGTTACACTCTGATACATGGTGTTACACTCTGATACATGGTGATACAGGGTGTTACACTCTGATACATGGTGTTACACTCTGATACATGGTGATACATGGTGTTACACTCTGATACATGGTGATTCAGGGTGTTACACTCTGATCATGATACATGGTGTTACAGGGTGTTACAGGGTGACTGGGTCTTATAGGGTGTGAACATGTGTTACAAGAATGACTGAATGATTGTGGCATGAGGAATTTCGAGTCGTTCGAACCACTTATCAGTTTTCATCAACAGATTATATTATTATACCAAATATGAAACTGATTATTGATAAGAAAATGTGAAAGAAGAAAGATAATAAAAATATACCTTCTTCGTAGTTGAACATGGTGAGGGAAGTTGGTTCTATGCTGAGTTCGTTAACCAACTTAAACCGAACACTTTCCGATAATCCAGATTCTGAAATAAAGGGATAAGCAATAGCAAACAAAATGTGTTTATGTTGAGAGTTAATGTTATCTATTTTTATCATCAATCAAGATTAGCGGTTTGAAAATCAGTTTACCCAGTTCAGTGGTCATATCCCCGATCAAGTACACCTCATCATACTGATCCACCGTAACAGAAAGCTCCACACTCCCAATACTCTCCAGGAGATGGGACACTAAGGTAGATTGGCTTGTTTCTATCCCTGAGGCTGACTCTACGTCTACTGTCAACCTGAGAGTATGTTTCTATCAGGAGATGAGACACTAAGGTAGATTGACTTGTTTCTATCCCTGAGGCTGACTCTACGTCTACTGTCAACCTGAGAGTATGTTTCTATCAGGAGATGAGACACTAAGGTAGATTGACTTGTTTCTATCCCTGAGGCTGACTCTACGTCTACTGTCAACCTGAGAGTATGTTTCTATCAGGAGATGAGACACTAAGGTAGATTGACTTGTTTCTATCCCTGAGGCTGACTCTACGTCTACTGTCAACCTGAGAGTATGTTTCTATCAGGAGATGAGACACTAAGGTAGATTGACTTGTTTCTATCCCTGAGGCTGACTCTACGTCTACTGTCAACCTGAGAGTATGTTTCTATCAGGAGATGAGACACTAAGGTAGATTGACTTGTTTCTATCCCTGAGGCTGACTCTACGTCTACTGTCAACCTGAGAGTATGTTTCTATCAGGAGATGAGACACTAAGGTAGATTGACTTGTTTCTATCCCTGAGGCTGACTCTACGTCTACTGTCAACCTGAGAGTATGTTTCTATCAGGAGATGTGACACTAAGGTAGATTGGCTTGTTTCTATCCCTGAGGCTGACTCTACGTCTACTGTCAACCTGAGAGTATGTTTCTATCAGGAGATGTGACACTAAGGTAGATTGGCTTGTTTCTATCCCTGAGGCTGACTCTACGTCTACTGTCAACCTGAGAGTATGTTTCTATCAGGAGATGTGACACTAAGGTAGATTGGCTTGTTTCTATCCCTGAGGCTGACTCTACGTCTACTGTCAACCTGAGAGTATGTTTCTATCAGGAGATGAGACACTAAGGTAGATTGACTTGTTTCTATCCCTGAGGCTGACTCTACGTCTACTGTCAACCTGAGAGTATGTTTCTATCAGGAGATGTGACACTAAGGTAGATTGGCTTGTTTCTATCCCTGAGGCTGACTCTACGTCTACTGTCAACCTGAGAGTATGTTTCTATCAGGAGATGAGACACTAAGGTAGATTGGCTTGTTTCTATCCCTGAGGCTGACTCTACGTCTACTGTCAACCTGAGAGTATGTTTCTATCAGGAGATGAGACACTAAGGTAGATTGACTTGTTTCTATCCCTGAGGCTGACTCTACGTCTACTGTCAACCTGAGAGTATGTTTCTATCAGGAGATGTGACACTAAGGTAGATTGACTTGTTTCTATCCCTGATGCTGACTCTACGTCTACTGTCAACCTGAGAGTATGTTTCTATCAGGAGATGTGACACTAAGGTAGATTGACTTGTTTCTATCCCTGCGGCTGACTCTACGTCTACTGTCAACCTGAGAGTATGTTTCTATCAGGAGATGGGACACTAAGGTAGATTGGCTTGTTTCTATCCCTGAGGCTGACTCTACCTCTACTGTCAACCTGAGAGTATGTTTCTATCAGGAGATGCGACACTAAGGTAGATTGGCTTGTTTCTATCCCTGAGACTGACTCTACTTCTACTGTCAACCTGGGAGTATGTTTCTATCAGGAGATGTGACACTAAGGTAGATTGACTTGTTTCTATCCTGAGGCTGACTCTACGTCTACTGTCAACCTGAGAGTATGTTTCTATCAGGAGATGAGACACTAAGGTAGATTGACTTGTTTCTATCCCTGAGACTGACTCCACGTCTACTGTCAACCTGAGAGTATGTTTCTATCAGGAGATGAGACACTAAGGTAGATTGACTTGTTTCTATCCCTGAGGCTGACTCTACGTCTACTGTCAACCTGAGAGTATGTTTCTATCAGGAGATGTGACACTAAGGTAGATTGACTTGTTTCTATCCCTGAGGCTGTCTCTACGTCTACTGTCAACCTGAGAGTATGTTTCTATCAGGATATGAGACACTAAGGTAGATTGACTTGTTTCTATCCCTGAGGCTGTCTCTACGTCTACTGTCAACCTGAGAGTATGTTTCTATCAGGAGATGAGACACTAAGGTAGATTGACTTGTTTCTATCCCTGAGGCTGACTCTACGTCTACTGTCAACCTGAGAGTATGTTTCTATCAGGAGATGTGACACTAAGGTAGATTGACTTGTTTCTATCCCTGAAGCTGACTCTACGTCTACTGTCAACCTGAGAGTATGTTTCTATCAGGAGATGAGACACTAAGGTAGATTGACTTGTTTCTATCCCTGAGGCTGACTCTACGTCTAATGTCAACCTGAGAGTATGTTTCTATCAGGAGATGAGACACTAAGGTAGATTGACTTGTTTCTATCCCTGAGGCTGACTCTACGTCTACTGTCAACCTGAGAGTATGTTTCTATCAGGAGATGGGACACTAAGGTAGATTGACTTGTTTCTATCCCTGAGGCTGACTCTACGTCTACTGTCAACCTGAGAGTATGTTTCTATCAGGAGATGTGACACTAAGGTAGATTGACTTGTTTTCTATCCCTGAGGCTGACTCTACGTCTACTGACAACCTGAGAGTATGTTTCTATCAGGAGATGAGACACTAAGGTAGATTGACTTGTTTCTATCCCTGAGGCTGACTCTACGTCTACTGTCAACCTGAGAGTAGTGTTTCTATCAGGAGATGAGACACTAAGGTAGATTGACTTGTTTCTATCCCTGAGGCTGACTCTACGTCTACTGTCAACCTGAGAGTATGTTTCTATCAGGAGATGTGACACTAAGGTAGATTGACTTGTTTCTATCCCTGAGGCTGACTCTACGTCTACTGTCAACCTGGGAGTATGTTTCTATCAGGAGATGAGACACTAAGGTAGATTGACTTGTTTCTATCCATGAGGCTGACTCTACGTCCTACTGTCAACCTGAGAGTATGTTTCTATCAGGAGATGAGACACTAAGGTAGATTGGACTTGTTTCTATCCCTGAGGCTGACTCTACGTCTACTGTCAACCTGAGAGTATGTTTCTATCAGGAGATGAGACACGAAGGTAGATTGACTTGTTTCTATCCTGAGGCTGACTCTACGTCTACTGTCAACCTGAGAGTATGTTTCTATCAGGAGATGTGACACTAAGGTAGATTGACTTGTTTCTATCCCTGAGGCTGACTCTACGTCTACTGTCAACCTGAGAGTATGTTTCTATCAGGAGATGTGACACTAAGGTAGATTGGCTTGTTTCTATCCCTGAGGCTGACTCTACGTCTACTGTCAACCTGAGAGTATGTTTCTATCAGGAGATGTGACACTAAGGTAGATTGACTTGTTTCTATCCCTGAGGCTGACTCTACGTCTACTGTCAACCTGGGAGTATGTTTCTATCAGGAGATGTGACACTAAGGTAGATTGGCTTGTTTCTATCCCTGAGGCTGACTCTACGTCTACTGTCAACCTGAGAGTATGTTTCTTCATGGAGTTGTGTTTCTTTTGATATCAGGAGATAAGGAACTTCGAAGACAGAGAGACTGGATGAATAAATACTCAAGATTCTATCATTCGTTTCTACATTTAATAGTGCATCATTCTGAAAAATGTTTTAAACTCTTGTTGCTCCTATACATAATTATAATATTTACGCTTACTTACAATTCAACATCAGAGGAGGTGAAATGGAAAAGAAGAGAGGAAGAGTTATCAAAGAGCAAATCATCTGGTGTCTTTACAAGAAAATGCACCTTCACATCTTGTTTTGTCATCGTAGCTAACTGAAAAATACAAGATAATTTATAACAGACAACAAAGGGCAGAGTTGGGTTTCATTTCATCCAATTATCCAAGAAGAAAGACGAAAAAAGGATCAATATTCGACCCGGTAATGAAAGAAAATGTCGTAATTTCTAATAAAATGATGGAGACATTAAAATATTTCAAGAGATCTCTCAAGCAAGAAAGTTAGTTATTCACCTGGTCACAGGGACAAAAGGATTTCGCTATTATTTTGGCCAAAAATCGCGATACCGCGAATTATAACAGACTATACATTAAATTTGTTGCAAATAATGGGAAAAATCGCGATTCCGTACATGCCGCGATTTCCTTTTGTCCTTGCCTGGTCAGAGAAAGGGCAGGTTGAAGGTGGCGAGGGTAGACTGTGAGAAAGTGAAAGTATTCCCGGTACTTCACATCTCACTTTCACAGTCAGGGACTCTGTGGCTGGGTATCTGTTATCTGCTGTTATCTTGTTCCCCACTATCACCATTCCTAGCTGAGAGTACAAGTGGTGGTAGGGGGGGGGGTGGTAGGGGAGAAATACTTTGACGGTTTTGGAATGTTAAGTTTTGCAACGTACAAATAAAGAACACATCAAAAAGAAGTCTTGTTGTAAAATAAGATCAACGAACCTGCTCGCCCAGAATAAGACACGTGACTCTAAAATAATGGCTGACACCATGTGCTCCCTTGGTTGAGACGAGGTCCGCACTGTAACCCCCTCCTACACTCTGCATCTCCTCCGTGTACCCAGATTTGTCTGTAACCCATGGTCCAGGTCCTCCAGACAGGGTCAGTAGATGGGATGATCCTGGGGTGAGGAGTTTTAGACCCATAAAGTAGCGAGAGCTTCATGATCATCAATATAATGATGATAAAGGTAGCATTGCTATATGTATCAGGGACAAAAGGAAATCGCGGCATGTACGAAATCGCAATTTTTCCCATTATTTGCGACAAATGTTATGTAAAGTTTAATGTATAGCCTGTTAAAAATCGCGGTATCGCAATTTTTGGCCAAAATAATTGCGAAATCCTTTTGTCCCTGATATGTATTGTAGCATGCATTGCTACATGTATTGAAGCATGTATTGCTACAATTCAAAATTTCATCGTTCATACTTTGTGCTAAAAAACTTGGTGTGTTCACAAGATCAAGAATAGAACAAACCTAAAGTCAATATAAGGGTATGTGAAGGGTAGGTCAGCTTAAGTGGCAAGTACGCTGCGATGACGATGGTAGCACTGAGCACTGTTTCTCTAGATGTAGCGTACGTGACCTTTAGGATAGAGGAACCAGGTCGAGCTCCCGTTACAGTAATGATACTGCACACTCCTGGTAACAGAGGAATTTAATTCTCCCTTTGAATCAATCAAGCTAGATGATTTGTTGTAAATACTGAGATCAGACTATCAATTTACAGGCTATCGTTAAACATGTTGCAAGGCGTCATCTTCAGTGACATAAGCCTAAAAATTGTAAAAAGTTAGCAAAACCCAAACACTCCTGGCAAGGTTATATCACGTGATACGACGTCAAACACAGTTCATTGTATTGAGTTTCAGAGAACGATTAGTTTAATCTAATTGATTTGAATTCAGAGTAAAATAATCAATAATCGGATAATTTTATTGTTGAAAGATTAATTAATGGGATAATTATATTTATCAAAGATCGAATGTTTGTTATTATAACCTTGTGCGAGATCACCGCCAGGTTTCTCTTCCTTCTCCATCACAAACAAGTCGTTTGACAGGCTGTAAACCAGAGGAACTAAATCACAACGAGTGAATGGTAGCTGAGATAAAACGTGGGTTAGATCAGTGAGGAACCAATTGTGGCAAAAGAATCACTTGTGGCAGAGTTGCAGAAATGAAAAATGAAGCTAATCTAGGGGGGGGGGGGGGCAACGCCCCAAAAGGCCCCAAAAAGCCCCGATTTCTAGGGCCCTTTTCGGATTTTTGATATGTGTGGGGCCTTTTGGGGCGTTGCCCCCCCCCCCCCCCTAATCTATTATTTATCATAATTTATCATAAACATACCTTAGTGCCTGGTTCCAGTTCTATAAACGCAGCCAGGTTGAGTCTCAGAGTGGATCCTACAAGAGTTTCTACTTTGGACGGTAGGAACGTCAGGCCTGACAGTTCTGCTACTATAACCTGAATCAAATGTTTCATCTTTAGAGTGAATTTTGATGTACTTGTACGGTTTATTTTAAACGTTAATACAAGGTCAGAAACTTCGTAAAACTTTTATAATCAAAATGAATTACTTAAACTTTCTCCCCGAACGCAAATACCTCAGCGGAACCGGAGTTATCAGTATTCTTAGCATCACTAGCAGTCACCATCTCCCTGCCCTCACCACGGCCCGTGACCACGCCCTCTTTTGTAACGGTAACAAGCGACGTGTCGCGCGACGACCACATGTACTCTCCACTTCCACCCTCCGCTGACAGCCTGAGCAGTTGTTGGCGCGTGTAATTATAAAACTTGATGATTGTTTCTTGTTGAGATTGTGCAGCTGAGAATATCAGAGGAACAAGTAACTTTTATGATTTAGTTTAAATGAAAGCGAATAAAATAGGCAGCATTTTACCCGTAAGTGAAGGGTTGCAGTTTGTAGAGTGGTAGTATGACAACAGCCGGGGTTACTGTGATGGGGGACCGTATTTCAACCGTCTGGGAACTTGACACTGGGGGCTCTACAGGGTGCTCTTCTCCTGAGAGTTTGTTTTTCAGAAATTGCCATCAGGGACAAAAGGAAATCGCGGCATGTACGAAATCGCGATTTTTCCCATTATTTGCGACAAATTTTATGTATAGTCTTATGTATAGTCTGTTAAAAATCGCGGTATCGCGATTTTTGGCCAAAATAATCGCGAAATCCTTTTGTCCCTGGTTGCCATGGTTATACTGACGATATTATGAAGAGAGACCAAGAAGAAAATAAAACGTTAATAATGCAGCGAAAGAATACGACTAACCTGAAAAAGGTAAGACTAACCAGTTTTGGGATGAATAAGAATGTCTAAAGTAGCCAGTATCTTGGCAGAGCCAGTATCTTTAGCCAGTACTGTGTGCAGTGTGCCTTCAGTGTTGCTGGATATCAAGGTCATGTGACTGTCTTCCACTGTTAGCTGTTAAATAGTGCCGTGTTATGATGTAAAGCCGAGTAATGCCTCTGGGTAGTGCTCCTCAATCAATCATGTTATCTTTTCAATTATTTTATCTTATCAGTTATCTACATTTTACATATTTAATGTAGATTCATGACGAAGAGAGTGAAATAAAAACTAAATATGAACGACTTAAAAAGGCTCTTTACCTTCACATCCCCTCGCTGAATTGATTGATCAGATACATTAACCTTTATTCTCACTAGAACCTAAATTAAAATGATTCTATCAGATAAGTTAACCTTTATTCTGATGTTATCCGTGTTCAACACAGGTCGGTTGTTAGGTCCAAGGACTGAGATTGTGAACGTGTACTCTTTATCCGTTTCAAAGTTCCAGTTCTTTGTCTCTATCTTGAACACTGAAAATTATACATATATATTGATAATACGTTTCTTTGATACATTAGGAAATATTTAATGAATATAATCGAACTTTAAATCGCACTTACATAGCATTTTTATCAGGGCAGCTGCTCGTAATTAAGCAGTTCCCACTTCATTCTAATCTTGATACCATTGGCTCGGGGATGCACGAGTTACATTCTTCGCGTATTATACAAATATAATGCGAATATATGCGAATATTTCATTAATATAAGAATAAGTTGTATCCCTGTTTAGTAACTGCAGCATTGCCACTGCGGCAATTCGGTAATCTGTCGATGGTCACTTAACGCGCGGTTAAGGCACGGTTAACGCACGGTTGTGCACGGGTAGTGCTATTCTGAAACTATTCTAAAACATCTCGATGATCAACAGTCAGTAACTGCTTAGTAACCGTTAAGTAACCATTTAGTTACCGTTTAGTAACCATATAGAAACTGCTTAGTGCTTAGTAACTGTTTAGTAACCGTTTAGTAACCGTTTAGTAACCGTTAAGTAACTTACAGAGAGCTGTAGGGGGCACTACGTGTATAGTGGTGTGAGGTGGAGTAACCGTTTAGTAACCGTTTAGTAACCGTTAAGTAACTTACAGAGAGCTGTAGGGGGCACTACGTGTATAGTGGTGTGAGGTTTAGTAACCGTTTAGTAACCGTTTAGTAACCGTTAAGTAACTTACAGAGAGCTGTAGGGGGCACTACGTGTATAGTGGTGTGAGGTTTAGTAACCGTTTAGTAACTGTTTAGTAACCGTTAAGTAACTTACAGAGGGCTGTAGGGGGCACTACGTGTATAGTGGTGTGAGGTTTAGTAACCGTTTAGTAACCGTTTAGTAACCGTTTAGTAACCGTTAAGTAACTTACAGAGAGCTGTAGGGGGCACTACGTGTATAGTGGTGTGAGGTTTAATAACTGCTTAGTAACCGTTTAGTAACCGTTAAGTAACTTACAGAGAGCTGTAGGGGGCACTACGTGTATAGTGGTGTGAGGTTTAGTAACCGTTTAGTAACCGTTAAGTAACTTACAGAGAGCTGTAGGGGGCACTACGTGTATAGTGGTGTGAGGTGGAGTGCCCAAAGGGAGGTGCTGCACGTTCTTATCTACTAGGATAACGTCAGAGTCTCCTAGCATCAGACTTGTTACCTGGGAGGGGTGAGGTTAAATGAGGTTAAGTTTGAGGTTGTCTACTGAGGTCATTTTCTAAGTACATTTTCTATGAGTTTTGATGGCACAACGGCTTACAAATTCTAGATCATAGTTTTCACTAATACTATATTAAAATTAATGGTTGTACATTGTGCACATACCGTAGTGTCGTCTGAGATCTCTCCGATGGTGGTGTTGCTAAGTTTCAACGAGTATTGCTCCGAGGGGAACTCGATCACTGAAATTTTACAAGATTTAGAGTTGGTGCAAAGTCAATCCTGATAAATTCTGTGCATTAAAGGTTAAATAATGACGTCATCACAACATCATTATATCACCTCATGACAAGAACACATGGTGTCATACTCTCACCAGTTTTTCTGCCGTGTTGCCTCCTCTCAGCCTTATACCGAATCTGAGTGAGCGGCAACATCCACACATCGTACGGGGGATTCAACAGCAAGTTCTCTATCACCACCACACGGACTGACACTTCCACTACAGCCTGTAAGAGGAGGAAATGATCACTTGATGCTGTTATGATGCCACGTGACGTCATTATGTTGTCACGTGACGTCATAATGTTGTCACGTGACGTCATAATGTTATTACGCGAAGTCAAAAGACTGAGGCGGCCTTTTGAAGTGGCGGTGAATATGAGTTGTGGTGGAAAGCTAGAGTAAATTTAGGTAGGAAATAGAATTATCGATAGTATCAAGATTCGAGCTCTACACTGATCATAATGGGAAATAAAATGTATTTTCATTGTTCTGCCAATTTTATAGGAATCACTTTGTTGACAGTGTAGTGACCGTTACTTTATATTTTGAGGTGTTTGTTGAACTTCAATTTGTTGTTCATTTCAATGACATGGCCAACTGTGACAATCAGACTAAGGTGAGTAGGTATACCTTTTTTATCTTTTATCTTGCTTTCAGACATTTTCAGACAACAAAACAACAAAAGGGTCGTTATGTGGGCCGTGATGGACACAATTTGAGCTATGTTTATGAGAATATGCTTTGTTTACAGGTTGATAACTAATGACCACCTGGGGCGGACACTGTCCGTGGTAGTCTACCAAAATGGTCACACTTTAAGGTTAAATTGTTGTCATTGGTATTGTTTCCAAAACATTTCCACCCCAGCTACATACTTATGAGTACATACTGAACTAATAGATTTGAGAAAAGGTCAACCTTTTCCTTGATTATTCCCGGTGGTCCAATTTGTTACCACAAAACTCATTTCTGGGAATCTCAGCCAATAATACGTCTGCACTTCCGGATATACTATCATTAAAGAGCAGCTCAATAGCTTTACTGTTTATACAGCTTTACTAGTTATATAGCTTTATACAGCCCCGCCGAGAAGAACATGTGTACTGGTATATACTTGGAGTCTCAGTACATTATATTATGTTTACTTTCGTAGTTGTATACGTTGTAATTTATGTACTACATAACTGTGAAATTTTGTAGAGTTGAGGAGAGAGAGAGAGAGAGAGAGAATGGGTATTGAATGTTGATACTCGATAGGAGTGATCTTCAAGTTGAACTTCGTCGGAAGAGACCTGTATACTAGATTTTTGCATTTACACCAAATAGTCAGGGGGAAAAGTGGCATATTTCATTTACCTCCATGCCAGCTACCACCAGTTCATTCTAAGTCTAGCTATTTTTAGCAACCTCTGAACTCTGAATGCTACCTCCTGCTCTATCCCGACCCTGACAATGACATATGGGGTTGATTTGAGGTATCTTGCATAGCAAACGAAGCGGCATTCACATTCACAATACAAAAAAGCCACAGTGGATGTTGGTATATTTACACTTGCTTCCTATACCTCCCTGTAATACCGGGCCTCTTGCGAGAGTGACGAAAAGTGCACATCGTTAAGAGAAACCCCGGTGAGAAATCACATTTCTTGCACAACTTGGTCTAATTATAGAGACAAAGAAGTGGCCCGGTACATTCAATGGCCCTTTTGTGCTGTTTCCTTATGTTCAATTTGATAAGGCTGACATACTGTAATTATTTATGAACCTCTTATATTGTGTGGTCTCGAAAAAATCTACCACTTTTCCCCTGACTAAAAAGCATAATCACGATAACACACTTAGTTTAATAGTTTGCTCTAGAAAACTGCCAATACCATGGGTTAAGGACATTTTCCGTCAGCCAAACTCCATTAAGATTGAGATAGATATTTCAATAGATAATCCCGCGGAACCCAAATCTTCAGATGATCAACCCATTATCCAGGACATGCCCGAACACGTACGAGGCCCCACACATCGTGTCACTAGCAACAAATTGAAATCCACCGGTAGTCCCTTACGAATCAGTATAAAACTGCAGCCTCCTCATAATGGTAATGTTTAGTCAGCACACCAATGTCCCATCCCTACCTCTCATTATGCAGGATCATGTCATCTGTTGTCCACCTGGTCCCCCTTTCACTGTTAAATGTCCCTCGCATACTGCACTACTGCGCGTGTAAATCCTGGTATCGGATCCATTTAATATCGCCGCCCCAATGATGGTAATTTGGCGGTTTTATCAGTGGTTAGCCAGCCGCCTCCCCATTAGCGGAGATTGAACATGTTTGTAGATTTACACTTGCCCTCTGCTGATAATCATCATTCAATGTGTAGCTCGGGACAAGAGACGAGAGTATTAAAATGTTCACAGTAGATAATAATATTAATAACGGCCCTTTTGTTCTCAGGTTTTCAACTTTAAGCTTGTAATGTTAGCAGTTAGATTATGGGTTCGGCATAATTTCCTGTTTCTTTGTTTGCATCTCTCTCGACTGTTATTTTAAACCGCTCTCCAATTTTCAAGAATCTGCGGAGGGTTATTTTCTTCAGGCTAGGTCAATTGGAGGTACGGCATAGTGTTTCCTTCTTTGTTTACATCTCTCGACTCTCGAGTGTTTTCTTAAACCGCACTGCAATTTTCTGACCGGTTACATTATTCCAAGAATTCGAGGACTGTTATGTTCTCCAGGCCAGGTCTACTTGTAAAGAAAACAAACATTTTAGGAGAATAGGTTCTGCATGAGTGCATGATGTTGCATTATTTTTTTGTATCTCTCGTGTTTTGTTTTAAACCACTCTCCAATTTTCTGACTGGTTATCTTACTATTCCAAGAATCCGCGGATTGTTATTTTATTCAGGCTAGGTCAAGCTATTTCATTATTTGTGTCCACGAATCGCGTTTTAAAATTGATCATTATAGATATTACTGCAACTTATTAAAGATAATGCCGGATTGCAATTTGCGTGGGTTCGAGTCACGCAAACTAGGAAGAGCGAGAGCCTACTAGATATTTGTAATTAATTAGTTAATTAATTACTAGATATTTGAAATTATACTAGATGATGAAAATCACCCTAATATCCTATATTGTTCGAGAGGTTAGAGTTACCTTCTTAGTCGCACTTCTTGTTATTAAGGACAGGAATAAGGTAAAGACGCATGGAGATACAATGCCAGAGGCAGAAACACGTTCAATCTGTAATCTTCTATCAAGTTTTTGAAACAAAAAGGCCGCAACTTTATTATGGCTGCATATTATATAATATTATGTGTAATGCTTATATCAGCCGGAACTGGGTTTATGAAACATAACATCTCCGCTTGTACACATAATAGGTTGGTACTTCGTAAGTTACTTATTTCACGGAGCCTCCTTGTTATTATATAAACTTAATACTCCTTACAGTTTACAACTTCCTCATCTGGTCGAGTACCTACTACTGAGTACCTACTACTGAGTACCTACTACTGAGTACCTACTACTGAGTACCTACTACTGAGTACCTACTACTGAGTACCTACTACTGAGTACCTACTACTGAGTACCTACTACTGAGTACCTAATAAGCTACTACTGACGTTATCAGTATTGTCAGGGGTAACATGAGCCGTGCATACCCACGCACACTTACAAAAAGGTGACATCACTAATACTAAAACGAGCACTAAATACATAAGTAAGTTACCTGAAAGTTACAAATAGTACCCCCTGAGCCAGTAAGATCGCGGGTAACCTTGCCACGTGACTTATATAGTTACAGAGTGACAAGGTAACTGATTGTACATGTGACTTGAGAACTTTCAGTTGCTAGGTGGCGTTTTGTGGGAACTGTCTTTTTGTAAGAGGATGAACAATTTGGACTGCTGATTTTTCTCAAATAGGGGATATATTGTTGGTATTCCTCTCAGATATACAGAAACTAATGTATTTCATGTAATGACCAATGACTTATAAAATTGAAAAGGCATAGTAAATACTGAGTACCATTATTCTTCATCTCCAGCAGGTAGGCACAAGCCAGCTGTTAATCATTAAACAATCTGTCTCACTCCCAACAGAACACAATATATTAAAGTCACTATTGTGTACATTAGAACTAGACAGAAACAAAGTGTGAAGGGCCTGAACGGAACCACTCGGTTTCAGTTCCTTGTTTAACACTGCCGTACAGCAAGGACATCCACCGGGTCCTCCAAGGATGGGCACATAGCTCACTCCACACTAAGCTTTGTTAAATGTTGCTTATATACCAAGGATCTACAGGAAATATTTCCTTGTAAGTTTAGAGGGCGATCTGTGAACAGACAACTATTTCATTCCCAATGCAACTATAGGATGCAATGTCGAAACTTAAAAAGTATCCAATCCATGTATTCTCAACCACTTGTTCACTCGTTTACAGTAAAGTTTGACAGCACACACTCCATAATAAGGGGTAACATGTTCTCAGCTCGATTCTAGTTCTAAGTTTGAAGGTCACGTGATGGACTCAGGTAATCCACAGTGTGCATGTAGTGCCATCTGGCGCACTCCCTCCCTCTTGAGAGCTCTCAAACCGCTGATTACTGTATCTGTGTGGGTGGAGCACTGGCCTTTGCTCTTATTGCAGCCTCTATTTGAGATATAGTCAGCAGATGGTCTAACTGGGAGTGTTTTTAAAACGAGTTTTGTGAATTTTCGAGCCATTTCAATCAGATTAAATTTTACTGAGTGTCCTAAGTTTTACTTTTCAATGTTTGCGTATATTTCTTCTTCTGGAATCTGGGTGTAATTCGTTTCGAATTTCGATAGTCGTTGCCGTTAACGATTGCCGAATCTGAGAACTTACTATTTCGTTAACTGTTGGCTACAATTAAATCTGATTGTCACCTTTTTTGGTGACACATAAAATGCGGGTTTTTAATTTCGTATATTTTTCCTGGGTTACGTTTCATAGTAATTTGTTTAGCCAAACTAGATTTTGATCTCAAAAACTTAAAATTTGTACCTACGTACATAATCAGCAATAATACATCTTAAAACATTGGAAGGTATAAAGATTATGAGGTTTAAAGAAGCAGAACCTTTACTTCCCTCGAGGTAAGCAAGTTCACACAAGCTGACATTTTAAAGTTAAAAGTTAAAATGTAACCGAATCCAATCTTAAATAAAAACTGATGATCATTGATCATTGATCATATTGAATAAACTGGTATGCTGTTTCTTAAATAACCGTTTATGTTCACTAAATGGGTACACAGTCTTTAGTTTTTGTATTAGATATTTGATTGACTAATTTCATTACTTCTGTAAAGCATTCTAATGTTCCTAGCTTCTTAGCTTCTCATAGAGTTAACATGGAATTTACATATTAACTTGAATAGAATTATTCTTCATCAGTACAGATCTGATGGCCAAAAGATACGTTATTTTCAGTTGTCTTCTAATAAATAGAGCGCAAAGTTCATTTGGCGCATTCAATAAGAATCATTCCAGTAATGACTTCTTTCTGCCGATATCATATAAATCTTAACACCAGACAGTCATGAGTATACCTTTAAGCATAATGGCTTGAGCCTCGACTGCAGCGGATGAAATTAATAAACCGCTGAAGAAACGATGAAACGAATATTAACTAATCGCAGTGCTCGTCACTCAAATGAGCAGGGTATATCGCGTTGAGTGGATTGCTTGACAAATTACCGGACCAAGCAAGAGAAGAGAGAGATAGCGTTATTATCAAACGCAATCATGACGAGCAAAGTTTAAAACAATCACCTAGGAAACTGAAGCTGTTGAAGCCCTGATTGCTTACCGATTCGTGAAAATTAAAAATAGCGCGTTAGCACGAGATTTGGCACGATTGTGGGTCCGTAGAATGTAGATTACTATGATGGTTAACCTCGTTCATTTATTTGTAAATGGTTAACCTCGTTCATTTATTCCACATGGACAGTGCCTTTCTTTGTCACCACTCTAATATTAGATTTGTTTACACACATTTTACGTCCAGGTTCTTTCATTTGCGTATTGTGCCCGACCGACAAACAATAATTACAAATATAGCCATACAGCTAATAACAAACATTGCCCTGTAAATCTTTGTCACATCTCCTGTTTAATGGAGGATCAATATATATATAGATGTTCATAATATATAACCTGTAATACTATTTTGTATAATTTAAATTTAATTTCGTTTAATGGAGATGACACGTTTTCTGACTGGAGAGTTTAATTAAGTTTGGTATCAACAGCATGATTCACTGTTCTGATTGTGAAGCCACAAAGGTTTTGTGTAATAATGAATGATACTTCATCCCTCTACGAATACTTCTCAAAAATGGCCGGCTTTAAACCAGTCCTTTTGTTAATTGTAACGTTATAAAATAACTTTAAATTGCAGTAAATTGTCTTTGCTTATCCTAACAAAGACAGAGAGTTGAATAAGTTTATTAATCACAATAATTCTGAGAGCACTGGTTTGCAGTACATATGAAATGCAATTTTACATTGTTTGTTTTGTTGATCTTCAAATTAATAGCCTGTGTGTAATATACGACAAATACTTTAATTCCATATTCTGAGAGTGAAAGCGGCTAGGTTCTCAAATAAATGGATTGATAAACAAAAGTACACAACAGTTACTTAAGCAACTGTTGCATTGATATTTATTAATTTATGATTTCGTATATAATATACTTTGGGAGTCCTGGCATGCAGCTAGCAGGAGTTGCAGTCTGTGGGCACGGTGATAAGGCCTCCATCTTTTTAGTAAGAGGCCAGAAACCGTTGACCAGAACAGAGAGAGAGTACTTAAGCAACTCTAATAATAGATTGGTGACAATTACGGATAGATTCCCAAGTTCCCAGATAAATGGACAGATTAATAAAACTCCATAACAGTTACTTTTCAGTTATTTCATTACTTTCTTGCTTGACTATGCCTTAGCTTTGCTCTTTTAATAGTTGGCAGACGCATGTTTTGAAGGTGCCAGTTAATTAAAAACTTTCAAACCCATAAAATCAAGTACACCCGAGAAATGAAGTCTTCTCGAGTATTTTCCTGTCAAAGAAAATGCCAATTTCTTTGTAACTTACTGACACTTTCTTTGTAATTTCATCTCGACAGTTCTATACAAAATTTGCCCACAAGCACCCTGGCCAGGGTCCTAAATATTCATTAATTTAGAAATTAATTTTTCGCATTGACCAAGAAAACATGACCAGAAAATAGTTTAGCACCATATTTTTCCAACTGTCAGCACATATGTGTTTCTAATATTTTGTCTACCAGATCTTCACCATGAAAATGTTCAGGCAAGGTGATATGTAGGGATGATATCATAGATTGCCGTAACTATTCTTATTACTCTCCTGTTGACTTTTGTCATTAAAATCCTAAGTGATAGTTAATGATGATAATTGATCTCGAAATCCTATTATCTAGTCCATTTTTACAGATAAAAATCCAGTTTTAGCTCTCCGACTATCTTCTGAAGTTGATTCTGCTCAATCATGTTGATTGACCCAATATACTCAAAAGTTATGCAAAGATTTTCTAACGTCCCCCAAGCTTGGTTAGAAAAAGTTGAAGAGGATAAAGTAATCTTGGTGCAGTTGAGTAAAAGTTCATTCTTTGTTTCTTAAACTGTGGCCGTTTACAAATATTTCCACTAACCAATATGAATATCAACGAAATTGCTGAGTGTCCTGCGAAGTGGAATTATGCATTTCCCTCAACTCTACCAGTAATGATTTTTAAAATATCGTGCTAATTAAGTCTGCGAAATTGCGAACTATTAGTTATCGGGAATGTTATGTTTTTACAGAGAGAAACCTCTCGGGCTTTAACAATATTCTGACGAATATTCTGATTAAAGAGGGATTAGATCTAGAAATCACTTTACAAGGTCCAAACTGTGTAGGGCGATATAACATACAAATTTGGTAGGATTCAAGAATATACATATTACATTAGCAATGTTACATTAGCAATGATTAGTAATGAGACCAATGACATGAGCTATCAACGAATGTCGTATATCCGTTGAAAGCTTTTATCATTAATGTCAAATGCGCGCCATAATTTCCTGTTCAATTTGGACGGTCAGCCGGCGCGCGCCATGTGGACTGGTGATAAAACGATATATCCTGACACAATAATGTCGTTTGGACTCAGCGTCAACACTCAAGTTAGAAAATGCCCCATCAATGACCAAGCGCGGGAACCGGCAATTAACATACCTGAACAAAGACTGTTCATTGTAATATCATGAAACAATTACAAACCTTGTAGGAAGGGTGAGCTAATCTTGCTTTGACCCAGGCAACCCCAGTATTGATTCCTTGCACCAGGATCTTACCACCTTGTTTCCCCTGAAAACAACATTTAAAATGAGATCTCCCGCTTCGTGTTGACACCTAACAAATTCTTACAAGTACTAGATGACATAACAAGTGCACAGTAATGTATAATACGGCTCAGTGACAGTTATGTATTACGGTACACATGTGTCTGTTAGCACATAACTACGCACTCTGTACATGGAGATGTAGACAATAAAATGGCAACTATGTATAACTGCAAACTGCAACCAAGGAATTTATCAAAATGAGAGTTACCTGACTTTCTAGAATTCCGATGGTAGGTGGGGTGAGATAAAAGCTGTCTGAGTACAGAATATTCTTCAGTACATTTCCTGAGACTTGGTGGTCGGCATCTGGCTCAATAGTCCAAATGAACTCTAGTCCCTCCAGTGTACTAAAAGTGTTTCCTGAATAGTTCCCTCGTTATTTCGAGTGGCAACTGAATTTTTTAAAGTAGTTGAACCCAAAAATGGGAATATTTTTAATTTGTCTAATCACAGTTTAAATTTAGTATCTCATTAATGTGTATCTTATTCTGCCATTCAATTGAAATTATGTTTGTTTTGTTATAATGATAGTTTGTCTGTGTCATCAACCAGGTCACAGTTCAATCCGATCAGTCACACGAACAATTGAAAAAACACATTCTAATGATGTGCAGTCAGATATTAATTATTCTGCAATATAAATAATTTACAAATAAGTAATAATTTTTATATTTTCAGTCCAGAAAGGCGAAGACCAGTCGAGGACTCCTCGTGTAAGTTCAATTAAATTGATTTGGTTATTTAAGTTAATTAGATGATTAAATTAATTAGACAATTGATTGGTTAATTATATAATTGTAATAGTATATGTGATTTACTTGATGATGAAATTAATTTTTTTCCCTACTCTTGCCGAAGGCAAAAAGATCGTAGGGAATAAGTAATCGGGTTTGGATATATGAGGTGGCCCGATGGACCTGCGATGATGACAAAAGTCTGCTCCTTCGCAATATAGACTACTCCCCTATAATTAAGTGTATAGGAAGCGTCTGTTATGCTGCGCGCGACGCTAGCCATGTGTTAATTAATTACAGTGAAATATTTCCTTCGCAAAGTTATTTTCCGCAATTTTCTGGATTCATTTATTGTTGATGCGCGGCGCTGCATTGGTCAAATAAATCATCAATTTTTACCATGCACGAATCCCACTCATTTATAAAAAACATAGTCAATAGTATTTAAATATGGTGCAATTTTTCCAGTCACACTTTTCACTCAAAAGAATTAATGGTACAAGTACATCGTTAATTGACGATGTCAATTCATGGCAGCTCGGCGCGGCACAGTAGCGCATCTCGCCGATCTAGCCAGTGAGAAGCCTCATTGAGTGCACGGCGCGGCACAGTAACGCATCGCGCTACAAGTACATCGTAGGGAAAATTGATCGTGCGTGGTTTAACCGCGGCGAAATTCTTGTTATGAAAGAGTATTAATGAGATGGTACTGCATAGTATTAAGAAGAAAGATAAACAGAAATGTATATAAATTACGGCGTAACGTTACCATTCATCCCGCCTCCCCCCCCCCCCGCGTCGACCGAACGTTAACTTCGCCGGGATACGGTACAATTTTATGCCCAAATAAGGACAATTCGGGTATAAGCGCCCCCCCCCCCCCCCCCCCCCCCCCCCCCGCATAGAGGGTGACTCTGCAGGGCCTTGTTACGCCACTGCTAATTCCAATTATAATATGACAGAAATATAATTAAGCTATCTAAATTCAGTTCAGGCTTAAATCGGATTTTAAAAGCCTTAGACCATAATCCTAGTTGGCAGTCCCTCGCACCCCACGAAGTAGCATATTAGTTCATAGCTGTAATGCTTTTACCGGGAATTGCGGGTGCGTAATATTACAGGTATAAGTTAAGTGATCATATTTATATTGCGGCTCAACACTTGGCCTCTCTCCAGTTCACTTTATTCCGGATATTCGTTCATTCTTTAATCTTTAGCAGTGGCATTACATCGCTAGAGCTGCAGTAGCTACTTAATCTTAGATTTCAGGTTTCAGCGATCTGCTGTTAGTGAGACTAAATCATAGTTGCATATTCATTAGAACTGTTGTTTTGCTTTAAGACAGCTCTGAGTGAATCACTTTCACTTTGAGTAAGTGGATGCGAATAATTGGTCAATTGACCATGTGTTTTTCAATGCATTTTTTAAGGATCTTTATTAAGAATTTTAAACATTCGCCCGAAAGAACAAGACTTACAGCAACATTCGTTATTTTTAGGCTTTAAATATTCATTTCGACACTCCGACCAATGCAATATAAGGTGAAACCACTGCAAACAATAAACTCACGTAATGAACATTTGAAAACATAATCACTAGAACAACAAGGAATTTTACCATCATCATCGTAAGCCACAATCTCAAAAGTAGAGGGTGTCTCCTCCAGCAGTAACTCCAGAGATGTGGTCCTGATAGCACGAGGGGTTATTTTAATATAACCTTAAGCGTGCCAGCGTTTTGTGTTATAAACTCCTTCGAACAAAATGGAATTTGGACGTCATTATACTACTAAATGAATAAAACTAAGGTACTATGACAGTTGAAATTGGCGTTCTATTTTTAAATAGTTCCTGAATCCGAACGTTAGATAATACCTGATTGCTATTCTGGTGATCGTGTCCACAAACACATCCACACGCAGTTCACTTTCTGTACCTGTATAGTGTATATTGTATAATGTATAGTGTGTAGTGTATAATGTATAGTGTGTAGTGTATAATGTATGTATTATGATGTAGTCCTGATAGCTATTCTGGTGATCGTGTCCACAAACACATCCACACGCAGTTCACTTTCTGTACCTGTATAGTGTATAATGTATAATGTATAATGTATAGTGTGTAGTGTATAATGTATAGTGTGTAGTGTATAATGCATGTATTATGATGTAGTCCTGATAGCTATTCTGGTGATCGTGTCCACAAACACATCCACACGCAGTTCACTTTCTGTACCTGTCAAGTTATTTTTTGTTTATTTTTAAAGTTCGAGATTGGAAACAAACAACACGAATCGAGATAATATCTTGATTCTTTGTGAAATGCATAAATAATAAACATACTTTTAGCTTTTTAGCGGGCATGTTGCAATTATCCTGAAGTCTGTACCCGGCCCTGGTCATATTTCATAAAGCGACACCAATATAAAGTTCCCATGCTATAAGCACTATTTATTAAACAGACAACCATCCTTATAAACATACAAACAATTCATCATAATATTATTTTTTTATAAACATCACAAGACAATAGGATACTGACATTGTAATTAATCTTATCTCTAAATGAAAGATATAGTTTTCTCTCACAGCACGGGGGACTGGGGAGGAACTCACCACAGCTCTCTAAGAGCTCTAAGAGCTCTGGACTCTGACCATATTATATCAATAAATAAGATTACGCCATTATTATCACGTGTCATTATGGTACGTGTCAATACAATCGAATCAAAACGATTAGGTTAGCTCGGTATCATCCAGTTATCGTGATCATTGCACAATTCTATTACCCTGCCTCCATCATATCACATGTGGTCTTCCCTCAAGTTAATCATACCACACAACCAAAGACCTTATTTTCCGTACGCTTTGGTTCTCTTGGGTGGTTTCTACCTTTTAGTTTTATTGTTTTAACCATCTATTTTTTATCGAGAAGTTTAGTCTTATTAAACCACTGCTTTAGGGGGCTTAAAGAAAGGTTGACATTCACTGTTAAATATGGAGCGGCTGCGTTCAAATTCTGCAGCTATTGACTATATTGGTAGTCGGTTCACTCGGTACTACTAATCTAAAACTGACACTATTATTCTTCTAAGTAGGGGTAGAGACTGAGCGTTAGTGCTGCTGATTCAATACGTGATTTTTGCGTAATCACGACATGCCTGCATGTCTGTACACTGCCCGATTTGGATGGATTTTTTTCGGGAGTAGCACTTATATATAATAATACCTTCGAGAAATCGGTAGGCAGTCAAAGTTTTGAAATTTACACGGGGTCCTTAAATACGTAAGCTTCTTGTTTTAGTTCTTTGTTTTCTGTAACCCAATTTATTGGCTTCTCATTTTAAAACCTTGTCGACGAGACGAAATTTCATCCTTTGCATCATAAATCATAACCAACATACGAAATAGGGGAAATAGCATGGAACGATAGAGGACATGACTTCACGACATGTTTTCCATTAGTATAATAAAGGTGTGTCAAATACGTTGCCATCAACATCCTCTCCCTGTATTGTTTTGCTCAAAAATCATTTCAAAGCTTTCATTTTTTCGAATCTCAACAATCATACCTTACAAGGTTTAAGGTCATGCAACATGTTCCTCGACCTGCTCATTCAAACTTAAATATTGACTTGATTTGTCGACCACCTTGGGTGAGTGTTTGTTCTTTACGCCCTCATTTACTTCTCAAAAAATTCATTTTCTGCAAGCGAAATTAATATTTTGTTACAAAAAGTTAGCCAGTTTAGATGAAATATTGAGCGGTATCACGGTAAGCGGTGACTAACTTCATACATCATCTCTTGTTTTGGTTGTTATCTATTGGAATCTTGATGTCAAGGTCCTAGGAAGCCGTTTATTTGTATGTTTACTTAATTTGTTGGACCACATTATGCTCAATTTCAGGGAGCTGATAACGAGATTTCTTTCTTATCCTGACAAAATAGGTATACCTTAAGGGGGGGGGGGGGGAGAAATCAGGGTGAACCCCCCCCCCCCCCCCCCCTTAAGGCCAATAAATTTGGTTCACAATAAATTTGGTTTACAACAATTTAAGTCAAAATATTGACTAAATTTATGGTAGACTAAATTTGTCGTTCTTATTATATACCCGAATTTGAGGAAGGCACGTAAAAAGGATACCATTTTTGGTGAGGGTTCCAATGTTAGGGCACTAGATCAAGTTTGCTTGGCAGCGCCGGTCACATGGGCATCTGGTCCTTGTCGTGTCCTTAAACTGGTAGACACAGTATGTGACAATCTATCTCTAATTTGGTGTTTAAATAACCAACAAGCAGATTACTTCATGTGCCAAACAGATTTGTTAAGACGATTTATAGTGTCAAAATGGGCGAGCACTGGCAATCGACTAGACAGAAAGGTATTAAATTAGCTTCTCAGCCAGGGCTGACACCTGACAAAATAATGCTTTAGCTAACACGTGCACAACACGTGCACAACACGTGTACAACACGTGCACAACACGTGCACAACACGTGCACAACACGTGCACAACCAGATACCAGATTGGACATGTCTGATTTTGATATCATCATTGCCCACTGTTGACTAGGGGGTAGTCAGTACTTCAGTAGTGTTTTTACCTCTGTTGCTCAGCAGGCTACCACTCTACTTTTCTTAAATATGTTATGATAACACTACACTTTAGGATGCCTGCATTTCAATTTTTTTTTCCTGACTTAAGTTGTACTTGATGTGGAACTAAACTGGTCCTTGGAAGCTATAATTTATCTTAAAAGATATTTAAGATAAGTAAAGAGGCAAAGAAGCAAGATAATCCTGGACCAGGCAAAAGTCCTGCTCACATTGGGACTCCAATGTGAACAGGACTTTTGCCTGGTCCAGGATTAAAAGAGGAATTTCGATCTAATTGTTTTTAAGGAACAAATATGATATGGATTATACAGCTTTGTAGAATAAGGGTTGGCTTACTAGTTTCCCTGGCTAGGATGAGACTCAGTTGTCTGTCTGGATCCTGACTCAGCGAAGTGAGCTCTGATCTTCTGCTGCACCCTATAATTAGAAGTTATTAGAGGTAATTAGAAGTAATTAGAGTTAATGAGAGGTATTGTTGATATCATACAGTCCAAGCAGAATATCTTGGATTCAAATATAGAAATCCAGACGCAATCATCTGTCATGATTAATGATCATAATTCTCCGTATAATTCCAGTTTCAGGGCAAGGTTCTCAGCAATTAGCATTATCAATAATCTTCGGCTGTAATTAATTACTGAGCATTTTTGACAGCAACCTTTGGCGCTTCTTAACCAATTCATTGAGTTAGTAATCATAGTTCTATATAACATGAGTCACGTGACATGAGTCACGTGGGGTGACTAACAGATGGTCCAATAGGGAAACTTGATATTTTACAACACAGTCTGCCTATATATATTGAGTGAGAAACTATGTTTCTAGAAGGCTAGAGGGCCAGGGGCGGCTAATTCCCTTAGCACGTCCATTACATACATTACATAGCTATAAGGTTATGGTGTAGTGGTTACTTGGTTTCTTTGAGACTGGTCTAGTGGTTTCGGGGCTTTGTGAATTTGTGCCATGTTCTTGTATAATTTTGTTAAAGTTAGTGGTCAGGCTTCTTGGAAACTGCCATTATATTCAAATAGTTTAAGTCAAATGTGGTCTTTCTTTGAATTTCAATCACTGAGTCTGTTAACTGTTCCGAGATATTGATTAAGGTACTCATGATATGGCCACTGTTATAATATGGCAGCTCGTGATATCTCATGATATCTCTTCTCTTGTTCACTCTCCGTGTATTATATTCGTCAACTGTCGGCACTTCACAATTAAAAAGTAATGGAATATTTCAAATAAAAAATAATTTTGAATTAGGTTATCCCAATATCCCAATATTCCCTATTAAATATTCCCAATATTATATCTATATAAAGTAACAGCTGTGGTTTAATAGCAGACATTACTGAATTACTTTACTAAATTAACGGGAGTAGTTTTATCAAGATACTACAGACTATATAGTTATAGTAGTATATAATATAGTAGTATATAATATAGTAGTATATAATATAGTAGTATATAATATAGTAGTATATAATATAGTAGTATATGATATAGTGATATATAGTAGCAACTAATCATCCCCGCCGCGATATTGGTTAGGTCGAACAGGGGTTACTTTTAAAATGGGTTAGCTAGAAAGGTAGGAGCAGCCGGGTTATTTTGTAAAAGTGATCCAGTGATTGCTTTCGAATGTAACTTTTCATTTTAACTGTTCATCGAGGTTGTGATTTTGTGATGTGTGGTTGTGTGCTAGTTATACTTGTAATGAGAGGTTATAACCCGCCACAGTCTGATCACAGTCTGGATCCACTTCAGGTTGTAAAACACTTCTTATAGCTATATCTTGTCTGAAGTATAACTGATTGCGCTGAATGAAATTATGATGATGATTCCATCATGTCACTTAATGAAGTGATGGCCACACCTTTAGTGTTGTAACATCATTGCACATGATATAATTGCTGCTTGAGAAGAAGATATGGTAGTGGAATGACAAGTTTAATGTTATTAACTAGAACGGTTAAAATGTTACTTGAATTTATCGATTTGTTCTAACAGAGTATTTTACGTTTTGACTTTTACGCCTGTTCATCATAAAATTATGTGCTAGGCTAGTTCTGAGATCTTTAGTTTTTTACGAGACACGGTTCAAAAGTCAAATCAAATCAAATCAAATCATGATACTCGTACCCTCGTAGTGTTTGAACTTTGACATCGCTTTTCGTTAGATCTAAGTTCAAATGAGACTTTTTGTTTTAGCGGTGCAGTCTCATTTTACTATATTTTTACACAGTCAAACATCCCCTTACTAGCTTATATTAGTACTATCATGTTTCCTTACTCTATCTTTCTATTCTATCGCGACTTTAACGCAACTGAGGTTAAGTGTTTTCTGCTTGAGTGACGCGATTTCGTACGTCAGGCAGGCTAAACAGGTCGTTATTCTCCGTTATCAGTCAAAAAGCTTTGTCAAGTTAGAGATTAGAGAATCATGATCACTTTGATAAACGAGAATATTCCAAACGAATGTTTAATAAACCTCAATGTATTACAAGCTCGCGTCAGGATCATGACGATAATGGGACTGATTTTCAAGAACAAGACGGCAGAGCCAACCGACTTTACTGACATAGCTCTAGGTAATAGTTAGCATATGTTTGAAGTGAGGGTCTTAAAAAGGTACTTTAACCAGACTTATAGAAGTAAGTCTATTGGCAGTCACGTATCCCCCCCCGCCCCCCCCCCAACTCCCACCCCAACTCCCACCCCCCCCCCCCAACTCCCACCCCAACTCCCACCCCCCCCAACTCACGTACCCCCCCCCCCAACTCCCACCCCAACTCCCACCCCCCCCAACTCCCACCCCAACTCCCACCCCCCCCCCAACTCACGTACCCCCCCCCCAACTCCCACCCAAACTCCCACCCCCCCCAAACTCCCACCCCAACTCCCACCCCCCCCCCCCCCAACTCACGTACCCCCCCCCCAACTCCCACCCCAACTCCCACCCCCCCCCCCAACTCACGTACCCCCCCCCCCCCAACTCCCACCCCAACTCCCACCCCCCCCCCCCCCCCCCCCCAACTCACGTACCCCCCCCCCAACTCACGTACCCCCCCCCCCCCCAAACTCCCACCCCAACTCCCCCCCCCCCCCCCCCCCCCAACTCCCGAGAGACCCTGCCCCAGTTCCCACCCTAGTTTAATCTTGCACCTTCAGTTGTTGAGCTGTCGTCGTACAGGGGTCTGATGCTAACAACCAACTCCTTAGTGGTCAACCTGCAAAATAAATTAGTAAAATTTCATAGAGATCATATTTACTGAAATCAATGAAGGTGTTTAGCATTCGCCATGTAATGTATTACTATTATATAATTTAAAATCAACACAACATACTGTAAAATTAATACATAGAACCAAAGGGACAAGCAATATTCAAAGATTGCCAATCTCATTTCAACATTGTGTTTCCATCGCCTGAAAACACACGTACCATTCAAAACAGCCAGAGTCAGCTGAGAGGGTGAAGTTAGTGTGCAAAGTGTGCGGGATGTGTAGCGGTAACAGTACGTTGGGTACGTTTAGGGTAAAAGGGTTGGTAGCAGGAAGGAGATGGAGAAGAAGAAGGAGGGGCCATATTGTCAACTTTAACATCTGTGTTTAGAATTTAGAAATTAAAATGATCATGAGAAATATCAAATTAAACAAATGTAACCCACATAACATGTAATATTAAATAATTATCTTGTGTATAGAGTAATTTGATAATTTTGACGATAACTGCTTTTGTGAGGAAAAGAGCATTATTGCTGAACTAACAGAGTATTTTATTTCAGTTACGGAGCCAAAGTCGGAGCCCTCTTCACCAGTCAAGTCAGTACACGAACAAAGTGACTTTACAGAGTTTGCAAAGGTTGTCTACAGACGGCTCAAGGTCTACCGTGGAATCTACATTTTCTACTCAATCATTACGTTTATGCTCGGACTCCCCGTCATGGTTACTGGGTTCAAAAAACAGTTTTTCAGTGGAGATGTTGAGTATCAGATCCTGGATTGTCCGCACTATTTGGGGATTGTATCTATTTTATCCTGCTTTATTTCCTTGTGGACAGCACTTAAAAACCAGATAGTTATCTGTGTGCTGACATTATTGACGGGGCTAGTAACTGTTATATCAGCCATGATCGTCCTGGTAACAAGTGCTCTGGATTTAAGTGCCACGCCCTTCGAGGATGTCTCTTCAACTGATCCGACAAAACACCTCAATCAACAGACTCACGTAGTGTTTATATTCAGTATTGGCTTGCTCATAGCCTCCCTTGCTATTGTAATCACAACTATGTCTCACTTGTCAGCACGACGAGTAAAACGAGTGAAATGTGACACGCCCATCAAGGTTAGCTTGCCAACTGTTGATGAGCGCAAGGAAGACCACAATGACACGGAGCTGTTACAACCTCGAGGCCATAGATACTCATTTGCTTCTACTATTTCATCACTTATAAAACACGAACTTAAAGACAATAAAAACATGACTACTGATACAAAAGACAGACTAAAAAAGACTCTTTCATGTCCGTCCGAGACCAGCAATAAAAATGCTCCAGAATATGTGGGCATTATTGTGAGTGATAGACCGAGGAAGAGTACTCATTCTCTTCCAGTTGATCGGTCTGAGTACAATGATGATATACTGGACAGATGGAGACGGGCCTCATTCCTAACAAAGTATTATAAATCTAATGGAGAGGTATATAATGTAGCTAATTTTATTAATTTCAACTTTATTAATTTTATTAAGTAATTAGGTAATTAAGTAATTAAGTAATTATTTATCAATTTTATTAAGTTCACTGTGATGTCCTTTGCAATCAATATTAATTGTTTCAGTTAGAATTACTTGCAACAAGCACATGTGACTTTGTGCACAATTTCGTATTTTAACTCCCAATTGAAAGCTATGTTGTGATTATATTCGATATTTCTTCATGAATAAATGATTAAGCTAAAGCTAAGGTTAGAATTAACACAGCCTAAATATAAAATTACCCTTTCTTTGTTTTCAGACAAGTAACGGGACAGCTGAGGAAGGATCAAGTGCCAGTGTGTCTGATATACATGCACACGAAAGTTCGGTATAGCAGTAAAAAGAGTGCAGATTACAAAGTTACAAGCAAACTACTGAGATGAGAACATGACTATGATAATAATACTTTTCCATTTTGATGATTTGAATAATGAGTTAATTCACCAGTTTTTATAATGTTATTCTGATAGTTTTATTCCGCAAGTATCTTCTTACAAACAACAATAGTCAAAGTCTAAATAAAACAATTTACTTCCATTATAATATCTGAGTGTAATACTAAATGGGTGATAGTTACACAGTAACCCAAGTCTTGGTGGTAATGAAAAATCTGAACTTTGGCAATTGATATATTTGAATACCAATTAGTTATTATTATTATAATTGTCTCAGTTTAAAAACATCTTGATCAACCGGATTAAAAATCTGCAAATTCTAGAATGCAAGTAAAGAATTGGAATCTTAGAAAATGTCTGTTAAACTTGAATGTTTGTTAAAGTAGGAAAGTTGATTCAGCACAATATATCAAGTTTATTAACAGTTTTGCATACTCATGATTAGAAGGAAATAAGAATCATCCTAATTTCAAATATTTTCTACAATGATATCATTGATGTAAAACATCAGTTGAAGATATGTCGAAAAATTAAGATTGGAAAAATTTATGGATCGAGATTTAGCAGAGTTGTGGTCTTTTCAATTAAATAGTGTGGCGGTCAAAAAGGGGGAAATGTGTCAATTAGTTGGTTTCAGAGACCAAGTTCATCTGAAAGCAATTGCCTTGATCAACTGCAAAAAATGCTTTAAAAATATTGATTCAATTCAAATATCATAAACACAATTATTTAAAATTTGGCGGTTTTTCATAAACTGCCATGCCATAGTGTATTCAACTTAATGACTATTCATTGCTGTGTAGGGCACTCTGAATTGAGATAAGGTTGTCCAAGTTCATTGGAGGAGGCTTTGAATCCCATCCCCAAGATGTAATCTGGTCAAATGAATGAGTTACATGAAATTCCTCTTCCTCTGTGTCAGTAGTTGTTTTTGATTTGTTGAGAACTATTCCCCTGTATCCTTCAGGAAGAGATGATACGGTGCTTTGCAGTTGTCTCCCTCTGAAACTGGAGGTGCCGTCTGGGGCAACTATAAACAAATCAGAGATTCTTGCCTCTCCAGTGTGTTCTATTGTGCAGGGTAATTTATGAACTTTGGAAGGTTCTGATATTGTCAACTTTGATTCATCATACTTAACCGGAACAGAATCCATTATAAACCTGAGAAATACAGTGTGAGAAGTACGACAAGAATAATATTGAAACAACCAATACAGGGGTATTATATTTAAGAAGGGATCGCCCATATTATATCGGCCAGTGGTGATACGTACCTGTGTGCTGCAACCCCCGCAAATTTTTTTCTCTGCCCCAAAATTGTATTTTGCTTCCCCCAGCCCTGGAAGCAAAAGCAAAAAAGAGGGGGCGGTCGTTTCGCCACTGCAGTCTACTGCACAAGCGAATTAGTTTTGAAAAGATTTGTTATTTCCACACAATCTGGTGTGTAGAATGTTAACAGAGGGAAGGGCCAGAAATTGCAAAAAATCTTGCTAAAGTAGTATGTAAAAGATCCATAGTGAGTAGTGGCTAACACTTGCAACTAGACCTGAAGAAATAGAGCTAAAAAACCACCATGTGGTCAAATGGATGGCAGATGCCGTTTATGTTAAGAGACCGGCCCTAAAAAATGGGACACTGCTATATCAATCTTCTCTGTCAAATTGGTTTGGACTTTGGCTGATCATTGGATCTGGTACACAAACAATTTCACAGAATTTACTACCCTGAATGATGCACCAAGATAGCAAGTCCTCAGTCATCTGATGTGGTTAATGCCATTCGAGGGGCTGAGACCATTTAAAAATAGTCTGAGTTTAAAATGGGGTGATTCAGTCAAAGACTTGATCGAGTGACAAAAACACGTTTCCAATGAAACAAGAAATTTTTCAGTGAAACAAGAAATTTAATTTTAGCACATTTTTACAGAATAAAAAGATGTAAAACAATTCATAAAATATAATGCTCATTTGGTGTATGACTTTTTGTCCTTGACTGCTAGTTTGGTTTTGAAAGGACAGGTAACTAACGGGGCAAGGAATGCGCGTGCCTGGAAGCTTTTGCACACACCGAAACGCTAGTTCAGTTAAGTTTTTAGAGACGAGGCTCTAATTAGGACTAGAAGAAAAATTGTTAGCAGACATTAGGGGTTCTGTTTATAGTTGTTACTATAGGTTGCAGTCTTGTTGTGACAGAAAGTCTACACTATATAATATGCTTAAGTTTAAATTTTGTAGTTTGAGGATATAAAATGCAACTTTAAGATTGATTTTGGAGGGCTGGTGAAAAATTATGGTCTTTGTATCAATGGTTATAATAAGCTATAAATATCTTAAACTATACAGTGCTGATTAAAAATTTCTTTATACTTCATTCTCAAATTAAATTTTAAAAATTTAAAAATATACATTCATTTTATTAAATCTTTCTCACACATACTTTACTCACAGGACAAGACTTGGAAAACAGTAGACTAGGGTAATTTAATTTAGATATGTGTGACCAGCCAGTTATAATGTTTGGAAAATAACATTTGCGCATTCAAAATCTTTTATGGTCCAATCAAGCAGGGCATGCTTATGTTGATTAGCTAATAGCACGTTTTAGCTTACCTCGCAAGCACATTACACTAGTAGTAAAGTCAGTCATTCTGAACTTTGGGGTTAAAATGTTAAAAATTTTGGTTGATCTAGTGTTGTGATTGTCAGGTGGGTCTGCCTGACAGATTAGAAGGCAGGGTTTCCTTGACGAACATGTGTAACCCTCATGTAGGGATATTGGAGCACAGAATTTCATTATCTTGTAGAGCTCGAGGTAACTGTGGTATGTATAGAGATTTTTTATGGCTAGAATATCATTATGCTTGAATATTGGTTTGGTGTGCTCTTTTATGAAAAAATGTTGGTCAAGTTTCTGGTGTCCTATAGGCCTAGTACGTGCACAAGTCTTAAACTTATCAAGGTACGCCAGCCTATCGCCAAATAGTACTCTGAGACAGTACTTCTGAGCAGTAAATAATGAGCTTATACGTTGCTTCGCTGCCCCACCCCATACAGATATACAGTAGCAAAGATGTGATTCGAACAGTTTCCATTACGTTTTACCAATACCCTCTACACTCTAACACGCAATTTGTTTACATTTTGTTCGACAATTATGCGAGGTAGCCAAAGTGCAAAGTGCAAAGGTTGCGTGTACATTAGACTACTGTACGTAACTAGCTAAAGAGGGATGCAAATTGGCACACATATTGTGAGACAATTACTCTGATCTAACGCTCGATTCACAAATTTTAAATTCATTCGATGTTATTTGCTATAGAATGTATAGTAGAAAGGTATAACGAATTAATCATTCTACACTTAACTTTTTATAAACAGGTTCTCTAGGTGGCCCTGAAAGACCATTTAAAACCCTAACACTCGAATCATAACAACGACATTTGGATGTTATGTCAGCTGATGTTGGAGGACACCGCTGCTTCTAATTTTAAATCTATCACATATCATTTGACAGCAACCATAAAATGTCAATACAAATTTTGTTGCTACACGTACGTTGTATTAGGGGTTGACCATTGTTAATGATCTGGCCCGGCGCGCGCTACTTCGTAGCACTTGCCACTAACATTTCGAGAAGAAAGCTGAAAGCGGCGCGCGCTACTTCGAAATTTAGACGGGTAACATCCGTCAATATTAGGGGGTGCACGATAAAATAAACTTGCTTGGATTTTCAAAATTTTTGTACCATTTTTTTCTAGAGACTGTGCGAATTTTCACAGTACCAAATTTGTTATACCTTTTTGGAATGATCAGTAAGTTTCGCCTATTTGATGGTGCACGGCTTTTGGAGCAAAATTGGCTCTTACTAATTCGCTCGCCCAAAAATTTCACGTGACTTTGGTTTTTTTGGTTTTGCAGCCGTACAAAACGGTTTTACATAAACCCTCATCCCAATCCTAACCCTAACCATAACCCCGAAGCTAACCATAACCCTTACCACAACCCTAACCCTAACCCGGGCCCTAAACAATCGAATTCGTATTTTACTAGCCTGTCATGTCACGTGACCAAAACGGTTTTTTGCCCATAACTCTCTAGGGAAGCATTTTAACCCTACGTCATGGGGGGTGATTCGGAATCAGCGTCCAAAAATACACCGATCCAGATTACTTTCATGCCCAAAGGGCCTTTTCACAAGAATTTTCTTAAAATTTGGGCGAGCGATTTAGTAGGAGCGAGCAAAATTAAGTGTAAAAGTTGCTTGATTGACGATGTCAACCCATCGATATTGTTACTTTGCGAATTGCAGAGCAACGATCAACGATCTAATCAATGCGAAGCAAGAATGCTAGTTTGCACGGCGCATCGAAGCGGTGAAGTCCTCCAAAAAAATTGCGTAATTTGATGAAATTCGTTGATTTTTGTCGTATTATTCTGTCATATCTTCGGTTCCTGAACATAAATTTCACATAGCCATGTGTATACTGCGTGACGCGCTTGTTTTACAAGTATAGAATATAATTTGCCGCCTTCGGCGGTCGCGCGCTACTGCAAGCGAAGGGCTCTGGTTAGAGCAAAACATTGAACATGAATCATGCTGAAAATTTGTCAGCACCTTCCAATCATACTCAACTACCGAACTTAAATTAGTTGGGAGAGATTGGCCTTGATTAAGAGGTCTCAAAAAGAGACCTAATAATGTGACCTCGTTGATAACTCAAATTCTGACCATCGAAATTGCTCAAATTATTTTAGGTTTAGTAAAACTAGGCGGTGCACGATAAAAATAAAGTTGCTCGGATTTTCAAAATTTTTGTACCATCGTTTTCTAGAGACTGTGAGAATTTTCACAGTACCAAATTTATTATACCTTTTTGGAATGATCAGCGAGTTTCGCCTAGGTGCCATATTTGATGGTGCGCGGCTTTTGCAGCAAAATTAGGTGTAAAAGTCGCGTAATTTGACGAAATTCGTTGATTTTTGTCGTATTATTCTGTCATATCTTCGGTTCCTGAACATGAATCATGCTGAAAATTTGTCAGAACCTTCCAATCATACTTAACTACCGAACCTAATTTAGTTGGGAGAGATTGGCCTTGATTAAAAGGTCTAAAAATGACAAAATAGGTATAAATTCGTTGATAACTTAAATTCTGACCATCGAAATTGCTCAAACTAAATTAGGTTCAGTAAAACATAAGTGTTTACGTAAGCTGACCAAATTTCAACAAAATTGTTATATGGGAAGTATTATAACTTTTCGATTGTTTCCAAAATAATGTGCTGGCCGAAATAAGAGCTAAAAACCATTCAATGGTCAGCGCGCGCGTCTTATTGTCGATGGCGCACTGCCTAGTAAAACATAAATGTTAACGTAAGCTGACCAAATTTCAACAAAATTGTTAAATATGAGAAGTATTCTAATTTTTTGATGGCGGTCGATGGCGCACGGCCTAGTTGTATAACTACGGCTGCCGCTCACTTCGCGCCGGGCGAATATAGGTAATAAAAAATATACACGTACTGTGCCAAAAATTTTGTGATTGTAGCGCGATGCACTTCTGGACCGCGCCGCGCATCAAATAATTATTCTTTGGTAGCTCGGCAAAATGCACCATTGGGCCTCGCCGAGCTGCAAATGATTGACATCGTGAATCAAATTTTGTAACTTTGGGGGCTTCAACGCGCCGCGCAAACTAGCATTCTTGCTTCGCATGATCGATGATTGCAGATCGACAATTGTTGCACTTTGCTGTTTGCTTCGCAGAGCAACGGTCAATTTGCATTGTAACTTGTCATACGTTGTATGACCCGCCGCGCTCGAGCATCGAGTGCGCGGCTCCCCCTGTATCGTAAAAACTCTACAGGGGTTCCACCATAGTGAAACGACCGTGGGGGTTACCACGTGATACAATTTGTAACTACAAATTATTTAAAAATAAATAAATATTCGTCATATAAATATAATAATATATTATTGATCAAATCAAAAATAAAGCGTTCTAAAAAAAACGTCAACAACATCAATTGATTCACGATCAAAGATGCAATGTCAATCTTTCATATCAAGCTCGGCAAGGCCCAGTGGTACGTGCACATCTCGCCGATCTAGCAAAGAAGCATTATTGAATGCGCGCGCGGCCCAGTACTAGTAGTGCATCGCGCTACAAGCTAAGTTTTACTCTACAGTCGCGGATCTTCGAGATTTTTCTAAAAGCACCCCCGACAGTTGAAACCCACTTGAATCGATGTATATTCGGTTAACGGGTGATACTCGTAAAATATTTGTTTCAACGAGTCCAACTCAGCGCGCGTCCTGCATGGTAGGTTATAAACATAAGAATATTCGGAAGCTGATTAAGAATCACCCCCCATGACATAGTTATATAAGGTTAAAATGCTCCCCTGGATAGATATTGCCGAAAAACTGTCTTGATCACGTGATATGACCGTATAAGGACAAATAAAAGGAAATTGGTCGAATTTCTCGTTAGGGTTCCCGGTTAGCAGTTAAAGTTTCAGCATATGCTTTGGTTAGGGATTGGGTTAGGGTTAGGATCAGATAAGAGGGTTAGGGTTTCGAATAGTCGTTCAGGGCCAGCTAGCTATATAGAGAACAAATTGAAAAAGTCACGTGACAGTCGAGTGTAGAGTGATTAATCATCATCCAGAATTTTGTGCTGCAGCCTAAATGAAATTGGTTTAAAAACCATCCTACAGTCGGCACGCGCGGCTCACTGTCGATGTCGCACTACCAAATATAATTTAATTTTGGTGAGATCGTTTCTTCTGGTTACAAAACGGTAAAATTACCCAAGTCACGTGACAGTGCGCTGGCAAGTGAATAAGTAAAAGCCGTTTTTGTTAGTGGTTAGAGATGACTAATTTTGTTCACATTATTTCGATCAATTATCAATTGTCAAGTCGTGTCACTGTCAAGCTGTTTTTTTCATTCTGTATATTTCAGTTTTGGGTTTAAATGACCGATATGAGATCCCAGTTTCAAGTTTTCAACTTTAGGGATATAAATATTTCATTTTATATTTAGTTTCAAATAAAAAAAATTTTGATTTTGGGTGAGTTCTAGAATAAAATAATGCAAAATTACATTCCAAAAACATTTGCTAAACGTTATCGAACACGTACAAAATTAAAAACAGCTGTTAAATGTAAATATTAAAATAATTATTCTTACCCACAAAGACAAGTCAGACCACTAATTAATTTAAATTTATAGTAGTTCGTATTCAAAAGTAAAAATATCTCATAATCCTTAACATGTTAAAGATAAGTTATTGCGGTTCTTGTATCTTTCTCAATAGCAACGGTACTGAACTTCAGTTATCTATATCCGCTTGTTGGAGTCAGAACGAGTCAAGATTAAAATCATTAACTCAATACGCACCACGTAATACTCTAAAACCTAAATCACATTAGCTAACAAACGAGGATCTTAAAACCCCCAACTAAACTTCAAACAGTCTCAGTCTACTTTCACCTCATTCTGGACGGGAATACTGTGTAACCTACTTCCATCAAACATCACCATATTAGGTATCATCGACAAAACCTGGTCTGCAGCGCCTCCCCCCGTCCGGGACATGGAAACTTGTGGAGTTGTTTCCGCTGAGCAGTGTGCGTACAAATGCCTCTTCAAGTTGTTGGACCTGGTGAAACCTCGGTTGCAGATCTTGCATCGGAAGGGTCGCTCCCCGGTATGCTGCCTCATGTGCGCCTTCAGGTTATGTTTCAGGTTGAACCGACTGCCGCAGATGTCGCACATGAAGGCTCGTTCTTGTGTATGTGTTTTAACGTGTCGCTTCAGCTCGGACCCGGTTTTGAAGGACAAGTTACATCCAGTGCATTGGAACTGAAAAGGAAGGGGGTAAGAGGGAGTGGACATGATGTCATGGTGTTGTCAGGACTTTGTTGCGGTTTCTGTGGAAACCATACAGTTTCCACCCCAACACCAAGATATAGAATCTCGTTAATTGTATTATTAGTGGAAATAGTTGTGATATCTTCATTCTGATGACATCACATATAACAATGACGTCACTTATCATCAACATTACCAAGATGTCATAATAATTCATATATCTCAATTTACCTGTTGCTTAGGATGAGATCGCTGATGGTGCTCCAGGCTTTGTCTATCTGGGAAGCTGATTTTACATTGTCTGCAGCAGTGGTAGGATAGTGAGTGTAACTGAAAATACACCTTGTTAATAATTCAAATTGAATTTGAAACAAAAATCGTTGACACAATTTCTATGAGATGCTCGACTAAGAGACTAATAGCAGAATACTGGTCTCTGATTGGCTGCCTTGCGTAAGAGCAGAATAATAGAATATTCAAACTCATGATCGGCCGTGAAAACACTTGCATTTTAAAATTGAAAATTACGGTTACATTATAACATGTATAAACTGTATGGTAAATGATTGGATACTTGTAATTTAGCTGGACCGCACAGAATCTGAATTTTAGCCAGCAAGGAACAAGCCGCATGGTATGCCAACACGATTTAATTCAACACTAGGGCTAGCTATTGAAACCGTGCTACATTTCACACTGTAGTATAGGTGCCTGATAATTAGCAGGCGGGAATAGTACACTGCAATGACACGTGACCATAGTAATGACACGTGACCATGGTCATAACACGTGATGTTAAACCACGTGACCTTACAACACCGCATTGGAACAGAGGCACGATTACAGCTGGTTAGAACACAGAGCTTGAAAATAAAAGAGCTGCTTCTTAACACACAAACACACGCAATATCAGCTAATACCAGCTAATTAGCAACCCCGAGAGACGCAGTGAGGCCTGACACAAACACAGTTTAATATCACACTAAATACACGCTTTTAATTTACCAATTAATTGGTGGCCTCCTCAAGTCAGCTAGATGACTCATGACTGCAGGGAAATATCACCACATTAAAAGAGATTTGATCAACAATTTATAAAATCTTTGATCGAACCATGACAAAAATTTGACGTGATAGAAAATTATACTTAGCATTAAAAGAGTAGATATTCAAAGAGAAATGTGCACCACGAGCCGCTCAAGATTCAATTTGAAGCAATATCATAATCAACAAATAATTAAATATATTATCAACTAATTATCAACTAATTATCAACTAATTGTCACCTAATTACCAACTAATTGTCAACTAATTGTCACCTGAACGAGATGGTTGGAGAGATGGCTCTTCTTGTGGAATGTCAGGTTACAGTAGGGACACTTCATAGGAGAGGAGAAGAGAGGTGAGAGTTGAGGTCTGTTATTAGTAGGTTGTTGTCTTGGTTGTACTCCTGCTGATACTGCTCCCGCGTTTAGAAGAGGGTTTCGCTCCTGATAGGAGGAGAGGGTTACACTTCCGGGTTTTCAATGACTTAGTGGACGCACAGTACAATATTTGTCTTTTTATCATACAATTCTTGTCATAAATCATAATAAAACTGGGTAAGCACAAACCTGCATTGCTTTAATGATAGCGTTAGGATCAGCCGCTCGGTCCAGAAACTGAAATGTAGAAGGTAGAGGTAGCTTCAGGCTTTCTAGAGTTGGAGGCTTCAATCCCTCAAAGCAGCTAGGCTTCAAATGCTTGAAAACAGGAGGCTTGATATCGGGGAGCTGGCGAGGCTTGATGTCGTGTAGAATGCTGTTGAGGCTGAATGGCAGGGTTGGTGGGGTAAGGTACTTCTCGTAGCAGTTCTGTAGTTTCTGGCAGGGGGGAGGAGGGTTATTTGGACTGTTTTTAGCTGCTTTATGTGGGGTTCTTTAGATTTCATTTGGTGTTCTGTTAGGCTGTTAGAGTGAACGCTTCGTTGAACGACAAAGGAGATAATTTTAGAATTTGGGCCAAATTATCGGGCCCTGAAATAGTTAATGCAGTGTAATGATGCCTGATTTGTGGAATATTGAGGCAAGGCTCTTAACGGCCACATAATGCAACAATAATTATATTATTAATTTCACTGTTTAGTGAGAAATTACTAATTAGTGATTAGATATACCCTCTTAATCCTTAATGTTAATGGCCATTTAGCTAGTGCATAAAACAGTACTTAATGCGTCTGCTTTTACTAATTTATGGGTAGTTTTGGCCGAATGTTGAGGTATATTACCGAGAAATTTACCCGCCAAATCGTTGGAACAACCCCGTGTATTATAATCGTTGGGACTAAAGGTGGGACTAAAAGTGGGGCTACTTAAGACTTAAAAGTGGATTCTATTTGGTGCTTTTAGACACTGGCTACCACTCATATTCATAATTAACCTATTACTGGATAAAAGAACAAAACGTGGCAACGTATGGGTTCCGATCAGTTTCATGTTCATGTGGTCTATTTTATCTGTTAAACAAAAGTTCCGCAGTGATTAGCGCGAGTTATTGTCCAAAACGGCTCGTTTAAAGTTCATATTGTTGCCGACCTAAATGAATAAGAACGACTGGTTTCATTCCGACCACCGCAAATATTTGGTAACCAGACGAAAGCAAAAAGTTTGCTTTGTATTACAATTACAACGAGAAAACGTGACAGCAGCCACGTGAGGACTACGCCAATAAAGAGAGACCCGAACCAAATATAAATACATTTCACTAAACACGTATACAGAGAAACATGACAGAAACACGAGAGAAATGTGAATGAGTCTAACCTGGAGACATTCCAGCAGCTCCGTCTCATTCTTGGTGTTGGCTGGGGGAGTGCTGGGTTCAAGTTTAATCTGGCTGGTCATGGTGTGACTGGAGACTGAGGAGGTTGGGGACACTAGTTTCGGGGCAGGTTTGCAGAAGGCTGATCGTGAGGAGTTACCGATACACATTTCTGAAAAAGAGATGAGTTAGGCTTTATAGCCTCAAAGTGATATCCAGGTTTATTATCTTTGAAAACACAATGAAAAACAAATATTCAGCAATATTTACCATTTTATTAACTAACCGTTGAGAGGGAGGGGAGGAGTAATGCGATTGGTGGAGTCAGCTTGTTCTTTAGTTATCTTAGCGGGCACTGGAACAACAGGTAGCCGGAGAGGGGAGACTCTGGTGGCTACCCTAGGGGTGTCTGCTGGCAGGCTGTTCGTCATCATGGGTTGAGGGAAGAGAGAGGGAACAGAGCAGGGTATGGAGAGAGAAGAAGGAGGGGTGGGTGTTGAAGAGGGTGTTTTATCTCGGGGTGAGGCAGGAGGGGTGCCGGGAATGGAGTCTGAGTTACTCTTATCCAAGCTAGCAGACAGGTAGGATCCCTGAACAAGACTCATGTCAGTATAATATCCTAAACATGACACAAACAAACCTAAAAACAGCTCTTTATCTCCCAGATATATTTAAAATTTTCAAGATATAATCAGATAAGAAGCCCAACTATTACTAAAAACTAAAACTGACCTGATTAGAGCCGGGAAGAGAGACGCTGCTGCTCTGGGGGGAGGCTACTAGGGGGAGGCTACTAGGGGGGAGGCTACTATTACTAAAAACTAAAACTGACCTGATTAGAGCGGGGAGGAGAGACGCTGCTCTGGGGGGAGGTAGGGATGAGGGGAGAGTGGAAGGAGAGCTCGGTTGTGTCAATGTTGTGGAGCTCCAGGGAGCGCTCCTTGAATTCTGACAGGAGCTTGTCTACTGAGATAAGGGGGTTTTGCTTGTCTATCGGGATTTGTAGCAGTCGGGATACTTCTAGTAGAAACTGAGGGGAAGTAGAGTTAGTTAAAATCACTTTAGACTGCCATGGTTTTAGAGCAATATCTGCAGAATATAAAACATAGGTTTTCAATATAGCGGTGCATGTCAATTACTCTATAACCAATATAAAAAGACGTAGACAGTGACTACTGACTATAAAGAAGACTATTCACAAAGAAGACTATAAAGAAGACTATAAAGAAGACAGTGACTATAAATAAGACTATTCATAGTAATATGGAACCTGAGAGAAGGTGGAGGAGAGGAGAGAGCAGGTGGAGGTGAAGGAGACGAGCACATCGTCCTTACTGGAGGTGGAGAGTTTGGTCTGGGTTCCTTGAGAACAGATCTCATTGAAACTGTCATATTGCATCATGTGCGCTGTGAGCTGAACACAAGAGTACAGGTTAGATTACAAAGTTTAGATATCAATATGACAAATAGTAAAGTAAATTACAGTACATTGTTTACTACACATTGTTCACTACATCGCGTGTGGAAATTGAAAAACTCGACAACGATACTTTTGTGTTTTGCACAGCATCTGCTGAATAATAACCGTGTGTTGATAATACGGAATACATCATCTTAACAAAAAGAGGGGTGACGTAGAGGAGACATTTGATATAACAACACGGCACAGGTGACTGTCCAATGTTTTGACTAATCCCCGTCCGAGAGCATGAGAAATGAACACATACACCCTATACGGGACCAGTACCAATCAGGAACACGATCATTCGGTCACGTGGGTCAGACGGGCCAATCAGTGAGTTGTATCGTGTATCACGTGACTACCAAATATGGTCAGGTGACCAGGGTTGAGATATCAGTTTAACCGGTTGAGTGGATTAAGATATACCCCACAATCCGTGGCCTATGCCTACCAATCAGGTCACCCACATGTCCTTGTTAAACCAATCAGAACACTGTATTCGAGTCACGTGATACGAAGAACAGGCATCTGCTGGTTACTGATAACAAAGTGGATCATGCAGCCTGCAGGTATTTGACGGGGAGGATTGGAATCCAAAACACGGCCACTTGGGTACACGCCCGCATCCATCTTATACTTTAACATATGTCTACATAACATACTGTAGTAGAGGAGAGAGGGGTAGACTATGTCTACATAACTCAATATTTAGAATAGACACAATACATTGACCGTGATATTATTTGAATCTTAATAAGAACACTAGCTATCCGGATATTACACTATTTACACTATACGTAGTATATAAAACTATTGAATTGAATTGAAAATCGCATACGGAAAAAAATGAAAAAATGGCGGCCGAAAGAGTAAAAATAGACAAAAATCAGAACGGTTGGCGGAAACCAAAAGGACAAACTGACAAAATCCAGAGTCATAATATCATGTAGTTTGTAAGTGCAGTAAAAGTAACACCAGCCTAGGAATATGTTGTATGTTCACTTGTTGGTCACACTAATTTTCACATGATTGGATAAATGGTAACCAAATCTGGCGGCCCATTGGTCAACAAACCTCACAATATAATGCCCTCTAACTATTTGATGATTTTCATTAAAATGCCCCCTATTTACTGTGTGTGGGGTGGTCATGCACCTTCTCAATTTGGGGGAGACTTGAACCCTACTTCATGGTCGGGGCAGAAGACGTGCTCCAAGTGGCCAGGTAAAGTAATGAAATTATGCTTCACTCAAATCTCTGAGATTCTGCAGGGGGAACCAGATGCTTACTGTAGTAGAGGAGAGAAGACAGGGGTAGACTAGAGCTGTGAAGAAAAGTAATGTTGTGGAGTGGGAGGGACGAGAACAATATATTTAGATTTAATAGAATTATTTAAGTGGTAACAGCTATCAACCAGGGAACAGTCTAAATCTGTGAAGAGTTAGATCTATCTGTAACCACGAATCAGTACAAAAATACTTTCTCCCACGTCCACTGTGAGGAGGTATCCAATAATAGAGCTCCAGTCAGGGCACTAACCAATAGAAACGCTCTAAATACACACGTGATGCACTCTGTGCAGGTTTCAATTTAGATGGAGCCTGAATTCTGCTGGATATATTTTCAACACAATTTTAGTAATAAGGGGGCACTGAGCTGCGAGTTTGTAGTGCCCAATATTTGGTGCTGATTGGAAGTTTTACCACTGGTAAGGGTGTGGCTGAATCAAACAAAAAACCAGTTCCAAATAAACGGTAACAAAGAAAAACATCATGAGATATAATATTGGGTTTACGAGTTACATAGAAATTAGAGCTCTACAGGTATGGCAAGTGGTGGTTGCATATCGGGAATTGGAAATTTTAAACGATGGAAATGCAAGTGATCAGGAATCCCCTGCCAAACATTTGAGTATGTCCTAGACAATATACCACCCTGCAAGGTCGACTGTATTTTAACAAAAAATACATCACAATATTTGAGCATTGTAATTATATACGATCAACTGCAGGGCAGCCATTGGTTGTATGGAACGAGTCACGTGACAACAATAGCAATTCTCATTTACAAAAGGGGTACGACGCGTCTGTGCGAAGTTGACATGCCAATAATTAGTAGTTTTTACCCTTATCTCCCCCCTCCGTTTTTGACAAGCAAATTAAGATTAAACCATCTATCGGTTGCACAGGAAACTGGTACCCCTCGGAAAACCCCCTCTGCCACAACGTCTGGAGGATATTTCCCAGACAACCCAGGTTTTACTGATAGGCATATGATTCGGGAATAATGGGAAACCATACCAATGTAGAGTACGACATTGACGGGCTATGTCAAGAAGTGCACCCAAGCGAGCACCAAAAATCGGGAAATAGCGATGGTTTCGAAGGAGGGAGTTTGTCATCTATCAAATGTTGTATTTAACGCCGTTAATGATAACGGCACTACAAAATTGAAAGAATTCATGTTACGAATATTTTCAAGGCTGGCCATTTAAATTGTTACACTCGGTGAGTGTTGAATAATAGTCGACATGGATGCAGTTGATTAGACATAATTATGTGATCATTATGTCTGTATGCTGTAATTTATTCGAAACAATCAAACTCTTTTGAACAAAAACTCCCGCATTTATAAATACAACCAGATAACCTGATAATTATAATAGCAGATGAACGGGCGGAGGAATTTGATAATTTCTTAATCCTCACTGGCTTTATGATTATCCTGCGATAAAATGTCTTATCTAAATGGGAAAGAAAACAAATTCCGCATATTTCAAGTTAAGGCAATTTTAACCAAATACTTCACAGGATCTCATAAACAGATAACATTTTTGATATATTTATAGGTTGAAGTGGCGGGGAAGGGGCTATATAATGGTCCGAAAATAGTTTCCCACCAATTCAGCGGCAGTAGCTGGGTAGCTGGAATTAGTGAAGAATTAGAATCTCTTCTGCCCCGGCCCAGAGATAAGGGAACATGTCATGACATCACTCAATCAACAGCCGATTGATGATGTGCAATTCATTCAGTACGTACTAAGTCGGTGTTACGCACCGTGTGCAATGATACATGGGGGGAGCACTGCTCACCGCTGATAAAAAGTTCCATTAAAAATGGCGATGATTTTTACAGACAACTGATAAAAGTTGTCAACTGTAATTAACGGGTGCGAGCATTGTATGTCTTCATAAAAAACACGGCAATTGATTATATGTTGTGTCGAGGACACATGTGTTCTGGAAAACTAATGATAATGAAGTCGATGTGTCAAGCATAAAAAATAATATTTTATCGCGATAACCTTTTTAAAAACCTCACGAAGGAATTCTGGACATTGATAAGCAAATACTCGAGAATGATCGGCGCATTTTGCTGATGATAAGCGAACGTCAAAAATGAAAAATAATAATTAACATGGCGCCTTGATCATTACATTTTAAATGAGGCTGAGTGGCTTAAAATCAAATAAAGCTATGAGTAATAAGACTAATTACTGGAAATATCTTCGTCAATATCTACTAAAACATAACGATACGACCATCATTCAATGCTGGCTCATCTAATTTAGTCGAGCCTAAATATATGCATTCAACCTTAGCCGGCCAGTAGCGGTACTCAACTCTGTACTCTGTACTCAACTGCCTCCACTGCCTCCACGCTATAACTCATCACAAACCCACCATGTACGTCGCTAATTTACGGTACCGATAAATATAATAGATCAAGCTGTGTGAAAACTGCCAAACAAAGGGCCGGAATAATAAACTTTGCAGAAGAACGAGATCGTGAAATATTGAACTACTGCACAGTTACACACCACATTTTACTGGATAGGTCCGTTAGCTGTGCCGGCCGCATGAGACCTGTGTGAACTGCAACAATATAACTAAGCAGCTTAACACAGCCCTTTTGATCACGTGACCAACTTTAACAAGTACATCCCTTCCTCAATACCACGAGGCGAAGGAGGAGGAGGAGGAGGAGGAGGAATCTGGGGGATTAGTGCGAAGTGAGGGAGCTGGCCCGGTGTTCAGATTTTAAAAGTATTATAATTGCGTGTCGGTTCACGCGCCAATTAAAGTTCAGAGTACTGCCAGCCGTGCGCGATGCACCTACTGGAAGTTGTAATCTTCCTCAACATACAAGAGCAGCACAAGTGAGAGCCAATGGGAGACCGGAACGGGGGTCACGTGACGATCACAGCTGAATGGAGGAGCTGGATTGGGGGTCACGAGGCTCAATCAGGGGCAAGGACGACACATCGTTTCATGGGATTAAGGGTTAATTGAAATATGCAAATGCCAGTAGTGAGCGTTTGGTGTGGAATAGATGGTTCTTGACACGTGCACTTCATACTGGCCTCCTATTGGTCTAAACCCATCAGGTGCAAGGTTGCTAGGCTGTGGTTGGTGGCTCTTTAGATTAGCAGTTCAGCATGGGATGGATGTGCATGAACTCGGTGAACTCTAACACACAACAGTTGCTCGGCAGATACGGCATCCTGATTGGTTAATGCCAAGTCACGTGGGCAGATCTGAGGGCTGGGATTGGTGGAACGGATTGCATGAGGTGTAGGGGCCCTCTTTTCATTCCCAGTAGACACCTACCAGGCGAGTCTACTTGTAAGAACAGATGTAAACACATACACCAAACATCTCCCCCTACTCAGCCTACTCTGGCTAACAATCAATACTGTATCTGCCAGTCGACACGTCCTACTGCTCGAGGACGAGATCTTGTCAAGGTAAAAGAGTGGGATCACGTGACTAACGGGAAATAAGTAGAGTTTAATGACCGGCAGGGGGATAGCACACTTGGCCGTGTGGCTGGGTAGCCCTAGGGCGCTGCACCCTCAAAATTAGGGATTAAAGTGCACTTTCGAGTGCTAATTTGGGGGCCATATAAACGGGTTCTATGTGATTTCCACGGTGTTCAAGAGTGAAAATATAATTGGCGTGTTCTTGAGCGAGGAAAATTAATGTGACCACTGCCAAAATAAGAGGGAGTCTAGAGTTGAA